AGAACTACAGCGCGACCAGCAGGTGGCAGAGCAGAGCAGGTCCCCGGCGACCTCTGCCTGGTCCTGGCTTTGTCCCCGACTGCTCTCCACACCCTCCCGCCACGCGCTCACTCTGAGACCAAAGCAAATATTCCTCCCTCGAGTGGTTCCTGTCCGGGAAGAAGCCACGCAGTGAACAAGAGCTGGTAATTGGTTTTAAAGGTCAGGCCGCAGCTCCGTGGCATGCCAGCGGGCATTCTCTGATGAACACGCTTTTTCTCAGAGCCAGGCACAGTGAAGGCAGAGAGGTGGTGGTCCAGAAGTGCCCAGAGTCTTCCAGAGCTAGAAGAAAATTTCTTGATCAAAGCTGAGTGGCCTGGGCCAAGTGAAACAGAGCCACGATGACCACAGACGTCCAGTTAAAACAAGACGTGGATCGCAACCTGCAGAGGAAACTCCATGTAGAGCCACTGTTGCTCGGCTGAATGGCCTAAATGGCTGCATTAGTTTGCATTACGTCTTCCTTGTTCTTGCTGCTGTGTTGCTTTGAGCCAAACTCCCACCTTGTAGCCCCAGCTAGTTTCAGCCTCCCAAGAGTTGGGGTTACAGGTATGCACCACCACATGCAGCCTTGTACAACACCTCAGTAGAAAAGACCAAGCAACTCTAGCTGGGAATCAGTGGCTCACACCTGTAACCCTGGCTACTCAGTAAAGGCTGTGAGACTCACATCTCCAATAAAACCAGAAAACCAGAAGTGGCACTGTGGCTCAAGTGGTAGAGTGCTCACCTTGAGCTGAAGAGCTGAGGGACAGCGCCCAAGCCCAGAGTTCAATCCCCACGAGCAACAAAAATTTTTAAAAAGGAAAAAAATTTTTTAAAGGAAGAAAAAAAAGACAAAGTAACTCTGAAGTCTGACTCACACACGGATGATTCCATGTTCCGAATCACTTCTGAAACCTCAAATGATTCCATGTATCAGCTAGCTGCTGCTGCCACCGCCTGACAAGCGATCCCAACTTAGCCCAAGAGAACAATCAACGTCCCACTGACTTTTGGTTACCGTCATTTTCCTTTCAAACATCGGTATTTCACACTATGGTTTTAACTTGCATTTTGCTCATGGCCAGTGAAATGGAATGCCTCTCATGGTTTTGTTTTGTTTTTTGCCTGTGTTCCCATGGAGTTGTCTGCTTTTCCTTAAGGAACTCTAATTCTCTGGATTTTCTGGGCAGAAGCTCTTTTCTAGGACTAGCTAGGTAGGAAAGCTAGGAAAGCTAGCTAGACAGATGTAATGAACTCTCCCTCAAACTCTTGAGTTCCTTCCCCTCCTTGGTGGTACCTGTTCATGAGTAAGAGTTCTTATTTTCAATACAGGCCCATTTATCAGTGTCTTACTTTATGGTTAGAATTTGTGAAGCATAATCAAATTTAGAGAAGCTTTGTTTGTTCCACGGTCACAAAGATGTCCCCCTCTGTTCCAGAGAGCTCACTTTCTCTTCCACACTAGGTCTGCGGGCCACACAGTGGCACTTCCCATACTGTGTGAGGTGGGGCTTTTCCCAGAAGCACTTGTGGCTTTCTATTATTTTCTTGATGCATTCTGCATTCTGGATTGTGGGAAGCCATTTTGAGCTTATCACATCAGTAATTTACACATGCCCACGTCTACTAGTATGCATGCACAAGAATTGGAGGGCACAATCCATCTGCTAAGCCTGCTGAGAAAACAGACCATGAGCTGCGGAAAGACCCACCATGTGCACAGACCAAAGAGTCTGTTTCTGGTTATGTGAAGGAACAAGGAAACGCAATGCCTGTGAAGGTGGGCTCTCTCTCTCACACACACACTCAGCAGGTGCTCACAGCAAGACAGCGGCCCTGATGGAAGAGGGAGGCTGTCCTTAGGGAGGAGCTGTGCAGGTTTCTCACTGTGTACAGCATGCATCAAAAGAACACTGGATATATGCCCTGTAATAAAAATGGAGCACCATGGAAAACCCCAGAGAAAATAAAAATTGCCCTGATGCGGCCACCTGCTGCCTCCTTCCCATGACTGAACGCTCCCTCATAAACATCGGCTTCTCCAATTTGCCCCACGGCCCACCGTGGGATTTCTGCCCATAGCTCTGTTGAGTCTGGGCCCTGGAGACACAGAGCACCATGGTAGGAGAGTCTGCCTTGGTAGGCCTCCCTCTCGCCGCCCCCCTCCATTGGGACCACCAACGGAGGGGCCGGAGCACTCAGGTGGGACTGTGCCCCTCAGCCAACCTATTTGGAAATACCACCAAACTCCACTCTACAGAGGTCGAGATTCACTGTCACGTGTGCTCGGTGTGGCAGCTTGTTCCTGCCTTTGTTATCACTGAAACGGTTCTGAAAAATGAATAGGCACACTGTGTTCTAATAAAACTTTATTGATCAAAGCAGATGATGGTGTGCTCAGGTCAGACCTACCAGATGACCTGAATCTGATGGTTTACTGGCTGGCAACTGTAACGTCAAGTCAAAATCCTTGCGCTGTGGCACCTAGGTTAGTGTCTGATTGGACAGTGGGCAGAAGGGGAGATGGAGTCCATCTTTACAGTTTTGTCTCCCACACCTATGAAACCCTATATCCCTAGTTTGCTTACCTCAAAAGTTCGGTGAAAGAGGTAGGCACCAGCCTGTCATCCTCGCTACTCAGGAGGTTGAGCTCTGAGGATGGAGGTTTGAAGCCAGCCTAGGCAGGAAAGTCTGTGAGACTCTCATTTCCAATAAACTACACAGAAAAAGACAGAAATGGCGCTCTGGCTCTAATGGTAGGGTGCTAACCTTGTGCATAAAGAGGCTAAGGGACAGCGCCCAGGCCCCAAGTTCAAGTCTCAGGACTGGCAAAAAGAAGAAAAAGAAAAAGTTCAAGGAAAGTAGGAGGATCACCTGCAGCTCCAGGCAGCTGCACACAGGTGTGAGTGCTGGCTTCACCCCTGGCACATGCACACACTGCTCAACCTGGCTTCAGCCCTGGCACATGCACACACTGCTCAGTCTGGCTTCAGCCCTGGCACATGCACACACTGCTCAGCCTGGCTTTGACCCTGACATGCACACACACACTGCTTAGCCTGACTTCAGCCCTGACATGCACACACACACTGCTCAGCCTGGCTTCAGCCCTGACACATGCACGCATACACTGCTCAGCCTGACTTCAGCCCTGACACGCGCGCGCACACACACACACTGCTGGGTCTGGCTTCGGCCCTGACACGCCTGAACACACACCGCTGGGCCTGGCTTCGGCCCTGACACATGCACACACACTGCTCAGCCTGGCTTTGACCCTGACATGCGCACACACACTGCTCAGCCTGACTTCAGCTCTGACACATGCACACACTGCTCAGCCTGGCTTCGGCCCTGACACGTGTGCACACACACACACACTGTGGGCCTGGCTTCGGCCCTGACACGCGCACGCACACCCCTGGGCCTGGCTTCGGCCCTGACACGCACGCGCACACCGCTGGGCCTGGCTCTGGCCTTGACACATGCACGCGCACACTGCTCAGCCTGGCTTTGACCCTGACATGCGCACACACACTCCTGGCTTTGACCCTGACATGCGCACACGCACTCCTGGCTTTTACCCTGACATGCGCACACACACTGCTCAGCCTGACTTCAGCTCTGACACATGCACACACTGCTCAGCCTGGCTTCGGCCCTGACACGCGCGCGCACACACCGCTGGGCCTGGCTTTGGCCCTGACACGCGCGCGCACACACCGCTGGGCCTGGCTTCAGCCCTGACACATGCACGCACACACTGCTCAGCCTGGCTTTGACCCTGACATGCGCACACACACTCCTGGCTTTGACCCTGACATGCGCACACACACTCCTGGCTTTGACCCTGACATGCGCACACACACTGCTCAGCCTGACTTCAGCTCTGACACATGCACACACTGATCAGCCTGGCTTCGGCCCTGACACGCGCGCACACACACCGCTGGGCCTGGCTTCGGCCCTGACACGCGCGCACACACCGCTGGGCCTGGCTTCCCTGCCTGCCCAGCCTCGTGAGCACCCTCCGGCCTGGCTGTGGCCGAGCCTCCCGGAGCCCCCAGTCCGATCCGCGCCGGGCACACAGCCCGCCCGGCAGTGCGAGCACCGGGCCCAGACCGGCATCTGCGGAGCCATTTCTGCGGCGAGGGGCCGGCGCTGAGCTGGCTCCCCCACCCCCGCTCCACGCGCCCCCCGCCCCGGAGGCCCCGTGCCGGCCGCCGGCGCGAGCTCACAGACGGCGGGGTCCGGACTGGCGCTCGCGCGGGGCCGGGAGGGGGGGGGGGGGACGTCGCAGGCCCCAGGCCTCCCCTTGGGGAGCGGAGGGGCCCGGAGGCGGCTCCGTGTTCAGTTCCCGGAGTGGCCGCCGGGTGGCAGCACCTGCGGGCCGCTTCGAGGTGGCCACCGGACCTTGGCTGGGTGGGCCAGGGCCTCGCCGCGGGGAAGACCGGCCCGGCGCAGGGCTCAGCGGCTGCAACTCCACTCACTCATCTCTGGCCCGTCTGACGCCCTGGGGGTCCCTCTTCCGAACTCCTCAACACGCGACGAGCACGTCCCTAGCCCTGGGCAACGCGGCCGCGCCTCCCTCCCTCCCTCCCTTCGACGCCACAGTCCGCACGTTCTATCCCGCGTGGCCACGCAGGCCACGCCCCAGCACACCGGGCACGCCTCCAGAACCTCTCTATCCATTGGCTCTTCCCTGACCTCGTCCCGCCCACAAGGACGCGCCTCCCCCTGTTCCCTTCACCTCTCACCTCACCGCCCGGGCTCCCTGAGGCCGGAGACTCCGCCCCCGGAGGGAAGGGGGCGTGTACTTCGTCGTGATTCGCATATATTAGCGACCATTGCCCGTCCATCACGGAAAACGTGATCCTGGATTGGCCAAGGAGAAGCAGCGGGAGGGACAGCGGGAGGGACGGCGGTAGGCGTGCCCGCGCACGCACAGTGCGTGCGCACGGACGGCGGCGGCGGCGGCGGCGGCGGCGGCGATGGCGGCTCGGTGCGTCCGGGCGGCGCGGCGCAGCCTCCCGGCTCTGTCGCTGTCTCTCAGGTAAGGGCGCGTCCTCAGGAAGGCCGCCTCCGCTTCCCGCCCGGCGCTTCGGGCCTCAGCCTCCTCGGCGCGGGCCGCGGGCCTCCCCGGGGCTCCGTCCTGGACCCGCGGCTCTCGCCGCAGGACGCGGGCCGCGCGGGCCCCCTCTCCGGAGCCCGCGCCCCGGGGTCCGCTGCGTGCCCGGCTGCGCCTGCGCGGCCGGCTCGGGGCCCGGGGCGCGGGGCCGGAGGCGCATGGCCGCCCGGACCGGAAGCGCGGGCCGCGGGGCGCCGCGGGCGGGGGCCCGGCCAGGGTCACGCCGCGAGGCCGGGCGCCGCCGGGCGTGGCCCGGGCGGTCAGGCCCGGGCGGCTCGGGGAAATTCCGTGTGCCGGGGGGGGGGGGGGGGGGAACGGCCCCGTCCGCCTCGCCGGCTCCCGGCCGTTCCCCTTCTAACCCGGGTCCCACCTCAGAAGCGCGCCCGGCGCGGCCTGGGGACGTCCACCGGGGGCGGCCGGGAGCCGCACGGGGCCGGGGAGCGGCGCGAGCCCCGGCCGACGGCCACTGCGAGCAGCGCGCCTCCAACACCCGCGTCCGAAGGCCTTTGGCCCTGGCCGATTGTATGCGGTCAGCCTGGCCGAGGGCGGCGGCCTAGCTCTCCGCGTGCCCCGTGCGTCCCTCTCCACGCCTTGCCCCGCTCCCAGAGCCTCTCTGGCCAAGCGGAGCCCAGCTGGTGGCAGACGGAAGGCGGTGACTGCCCCGGCCAGGGGACAAACCACCAAAGTGACAGTGTCATAAAAGTTGTTGCACCGAAGTGCAAACGCAGATGAGGGGCTTCTGTGTATCTTCATAAACAGGATCACTCCTGGGCACTCCCTGTGTGGCATAAGTGAAGGTGGCCAGTGGAGCAAGGGGCCTGCCCACGGACATCGCGGCCATCAGCTGGGATGTGTGCGTGACGAAATAGGAGATTTTTCTCTCGAGCCTGGCCCCGTGAGGCATGAGTGTGTTTCTCTTTAAGTTGCCTTTCTCGACAAAGCACTCAGAAGGCATCCAGAAGATGGCTATTGAGCTCATCTCTTTAGGAGTCGGACAGTTTCCAGATTCTGGGAGCAGCAGTCGGTCCTCTGACTAAACATCAAGTTCCAGCATTAGCTGGGTGGTATATAAATAGGTGTGCTCCGTGTACTGATCCCTTTTCTTTAATTCAACGAGTTTTCTTAAAGCTGGGAAGAAAGTTGAATGTAGTAGATCCTAATTGGACACCTGATGAAGACAAGTGGGTTTTAAGTCACCGAAGACTTTGAGACTTGATGCTCTTGTGTAGATGAGATAGATAATACCTTAAATCATTCCTAGGGCTCATTCTAGAGCACTTTGTACTTCTCCTGTACACAGCACAGTTCCTGACTCTGCACCTTGGTCCAAACCATTGCCCTTCCTGGAGTAAATCTCTGCCCCCCTCTCTACACAAACGCTCCCTGTCCTACAAAGCCCTCTGTGGGGCGTGGCACAGCGGACACACCAGCCACCCCAGCACCTTGCATCAGAAGGCTGAGGCAGGAGGATTGTTCATAGCCAGTCCGTGTGTCTAGGCTGTGTCTCTAAATAAGTAGGTCCCCAGGCTTCCCCATTTCCCTCCTAACAGCCTCACACTTGCTAAGCAGGCACTCTACCAATTGAGACACCTTGTCAGTTCTTTTTTTTTTTTTGGTCAGTCATGGGGCTTGAACTCTGAGCTTGGGCGCTATCCCTCAGCTCAAGGCGAGTGCTCTACTGCTTGAGCCACAGTGCCACTTCCAGTTTTCTAGTGGTTTATTGGAGATAAGTCTCGTGGACTTTCCTGCCCACGCTGGCTTTGAACCGCGATCCTCAGACCTCAGCCTCCTGAGTAGCTAGGATGACAGGCATGAGCCACCGGTGCCCAGCACCTCTCCAGTTCTTTACTGGTTTATTTTTTGGATAAGATCTCCCACTTTTCACTGTGGCTGGTCTAGCTTAAGATGTCTTCTTGCAAAAGCCAGAAGTGGCGCTGTGGCTCAAGTGGTTAGAGTGCTAGCCTTGAGCTGAAGAGCTGAGGGACAGCGCCCAGGCCAAGTTCAGGCTTCATGACGGGGGGGGGGGGGGGGGGGGGGGGGGGGGGGGGGTCTTCTTGCTAGCTTTTAACCAGAGTTAGGCTCACACTGCTATCTTCCTGATCTCCACCTCACAACTTGCTGGGATTACAGGCATGGGTCAGTGTGCCCAGCCAGCAGTTTGCCTTTTTTGCATGATGGTGAATACTTTGTGGGCAGGATCTCTCCTGGTCTGCCCTTGTTAGCCATGCAACTAGTGGCTCTACCTCTGTCCAGTTGGGTGATTTGTTTGTATGAGGGTCACAGTATGTTTACACAGCCTGTTGGTCCAGCCTGCTGCAGGGAGGGCTCTGGCACCGCCTCCTGTGGGCTGTTGTTGACCAGAACCATTAGAGGCAGGTGTGCTTCAGTGCAGTAGATACAATGTATACAATAGATACAATGTATATGATTTGTCCCTTTACTGGTGAAAGCTTTTCTCTCCCAAGCCAGTCCCTAATTGCTTGACTTCCAAGTTTCTAAAATGTCTTGGGATCACATGCCAACAAGCAGTCTGCCTGTGCGATGATTGCATGCCAACAAGCAGTCTGCGTGTGCAAGTGCATGCCAACAAGCAGTCCATGTGTGGAGTGACGCGTGACTTTCTGCAGGCCCTCTCCTCGGTGGTTGTGCACAGCCACAAAGCAGAAGAACAGTGGTCAGAACCTGGAGGATGACAGCGGCCACAGCGAACAGAAGACAGAGCCGCCATCCACAGACAAGATTCTTCTGGACGAGAAGGTGAAGCTGGAAGAGCAGCTGAGAGAGACAACGGTGAGGACGGGCGAGGGAGCAAGGCCGAGGCCGTGCTCCTGGTGTAGTCTGCTCGTACCTTGTATTACGGTGGTCTTCTCCAGGGAGGAGAGCTCAATACAGCCGGGGACTTGGAGGTGCTGGGTGGAGTTGGGAGGAGGGTGGCCCACAGTCATCATCGGGGAAGTGGGAGGTGGCACTGAGCCAGCCCTGAAGGTTGAAGTCAGTGCCCTGCATCGTGCATGCTGGCGCTGGCCCGGCCCCAGCCCGGGCCCCCTGTGACAGAGGGAACGGAAGCAGGAAGGTGGGGTGGACCGGGAAGGGGTGCTGACAGCTGCCTAGACTGAGAGTGGGAGCTGCTGGAGGTGTCACGCAGCTGACTTTCACGGGGACCCCTCAGGAAATGGGGTGCCTGGTCCTAGAGTCCCAGGATTGAGTCCCCACAGAACCTCCTGGGCAGCCCCAAGGGTCCCAGAGGGTCATTTGTGGGGCACTGGCTGCCCTGCACCGGGATGGCGGCCTGCGGGGTGCTGGCCCTGAGTTAGGAGTGTGGGCCCTTCCTGGGCTGGCGAGTGAGCACGGGAGGAGCACGCCAGGGGAGCACGGGGCGGGCGGCCGCAGGACGCTGCTGCGCACGCTGTTAAGCTATCTTGGCTGACCTAAAATCCCAAAAGTAATGACAGGTTGCATGTGTATTTTGGCTTAGGGTTTATTACAGAATCATCTTTCAGTCAGGGTGGCTTTCTTAAGACAGTTTTCCACTTTTAATTCATATACATTTTTCTTTCCTTAGGAAAAATACAAACGAGCCTTGGCAGATACTGAGAACTTACGGCAGAGGAGTCAAAAGCTGGTGGAGGAAGCCAAGTTATATGGTAACTCGTGGGAATGCTGTCGGTGCTGGGCGGGCCGGGCAGGGCCTGGGACAAGCAGCCGTGTTCCCTGGCTGTGGTGTGTGCAAACCGCCTTCTCTGGCTGGCTCTAGGCATCCAGGGCTTCTGCAAGGACCTGCTGGAAGTGGCTGACATTCTGGAGAAGGCCACCCAGAGTGTCCCAAAGGAAGAGATCCGAGACGACAACCCACACCTCAAGAGCCTGTACGAGGGGCTGGTGATGACCGAAGTGCAGATTCAGAAGGTGTTCACGAAGCACGGCCTGCTCAGGCTGGACCCCGCCGGAGCCAAGTTTGACCCTTACGAACATGAGGCCTTGTTCCACACGCCGGTGGAGGGGAAAGAGCCGGGCACGGTGGCACTGGTTAGCAAGGTCGGGTACAAGCTGCATGGGCGCACCCTGAGGCCCGCCCTGGTGGGGGTGGTGAAGGCAGCATAGCCACCTCGCTGCTTCTGGACTTTTCCAGCACTTGCTGTAACGTCCTGGTTCTCATCAGTGCCCGTGTCTCACCTTTGCCGGCCTTGTCGGGAAGCTGGAGTCAGCTGCGCCGGCACGCGGGAGCTGGCCACTGGCTCTCAGCAGCACGTGTTCTCATAGGCTTCCACAGGCTTGCAGAGAGGCCGAGGGACTTGTGGAGTGCCGTGGGTAATGCTGTATCCGCTCAGCTTGGGTGATTGCAAAGCATTCTAACAAATAAAAGGTCTTGGGGAGTTGTGTTTGGCTGCGCGGTGAGCACATGCCGCGTCCTCCACGGCTCTCCTGCATCTGCAGTGCTGTGCTGGCTCCTCTGAAGGGAAGGCCGGAGGTGGACGTGCTTGTCAGTAAAAGCTTAGGACTAGCATGCTGGAGGCCAAGGCAAGAGGATCTTGACTCCAGACCAGTGTGGGCTAAATACGTAACAAGACTCTCAAACAAAAATAATTAGGTGCAGTGGCTTACTCCTGTAATCCCAGCTATTGAAGAGACTGCAGTTGGGAGGATCATGGTTCAAGGCCAGCCCAGACAAAAGATATTCTTCCCTCATCCCCATTAAATACAGTAGTTGGGCAAAAGTAGGAAGACTAGAGTTTTAGGTCCCAAGCAAAATCCCAAGACCTTATTTTAAGAAAAAGAGGACAAAAAACAGGTAGAGGAGATATAGCTGAAATGAGAGTCTGCAAGTGTGAGTCCTGGAGTTGAAATCCTAGTATCTCCCCCCCCACCCCCAAACAAACAAAAAGAGCTTGTGACCTTTGAGAAGAGTAGGAGCTAAAAAATGAACACTGCTAACGTTTCACATTGCCAAGAACTGAATTTGGCAAACTCAGTTCCTGTTTCCAGTTTTGTTCATCCGAATGTTTAAGTCTGTATTCAATACTTAAAACCTCAAGGTGTAATCCTTGTTACAGTGGACCTCCTTGAAATACGAAAACTACATGCCTAGAATACTCTCAGTGTTGCTGAGTCTCGGGTTTTGTTGAAGAGGATTAAAAGCCCAGTGTTTATTTTCCTACCTCATGGTGATGGTTTCTTGTCCTTCAGTGGACTGTGAGCCCCTTAGGCACGTGGCTGAGGGCCCAGTGTGCTGCTCGGAGGGCAGAGCAGCCCTCCAGCAGGGACAGGCATCCTGGGCCAGGGCCCAGCTGACTGGGAGCTCTTCTTAGTCTAAAGGCTGTTCTCATTTATATGGCTCTCTAAGGCCTAGTAAAAGCTGAGTGAGGCCGGACGTCTGTGATCCTAGCACTCAGGAGGCTGAGAGCTGAAGACAGTGGTTCAAAGCCAACCCAGGCAGGAAAATCCACGACTCTCATTTCCAATTAACTACCAGAAAATCAAAAGTGGCTCCATGTGGTAGAGCACTAGTGCTAGCCTTGAGCAAGAGCTCAGGGACAGTGCCTAGTGCCTAGGCCCTGAGTTCAAGCCCTATTACCTACTAAAAGGAAAGAAACAGCTGAGTGATTAGCTAAGCTATTTAGGAGGCTGAGGCCCACAGGACCACAACTCCAAGCTGGCCTGAGGTGCAGGGTCCGGGAGACGCCCATCTCCAGTTAACAGAATGCTATGGTGGAAGCATGGCTCAAGCGGTATAGTAAAAAAGAACGGTGTGTGACCTATTACTGTTATCAACAGAGGTAACCTACTGTTTGGTGGGATGCAGCACTGCGCCATTCACAGCAGAGATGGGGAATGGGCCAGACATGACGGTGCCCAGGTGTAATCCTAACTACTTGGAGGTGTGGACAGCATGGTTCTAGGCCACTCGAGCAAACGTCCAAGACTGAAAAAGAAAGAACCTGGGCTTGTGGCTCCAGTGGCAGTGCAGGCCCACTCAGCCCTGCATCCCTGGACTTCTCACCAATGGTTTAACCTGTGGCAGACCAAAAGTCCGCACCTGTACTGAGCATGGACAGTCACGGGGCTGCCTCACACAAGCTGGGCTGGGCTGGGCTGGGCTGCCCCTGAGTCCCACCCACAGCTAGCTACAGGCTTGTCATTGGTTTTTAGTCTTACCTGGTATCTCTCAAGGCCCCTAGCGATTGGTGTAGCAGGGGAACATGGGCTGTGCATGTGTCCTTTTCCATAAGGGGCTTGAGCTGAGACTTGTACCCTCTTGAGGGACATCTGCATGTACACATGGCAGAGCTATTTCATAGAGTTCAGTTATCCACTGTTGCCGTGAGCAAGAACATGTCAGGTTCGCACACATTCCTACCACGAAATCACACTTGCTGACAGTGTGCTAGTCAAGCATTGGAAAGCTGCAGGCCTGTGCTGGGCTGAGCTGAGCTGTTCAGTGTGGACAGCCAGAACCCGAGACCTGAAGTGGCCCACTCCCAGGGCTGGGCTGGCCTACAAGCGTTGTCTGCCTAGCAGAGAGCTGGTGTGACAGCGCGGTGCGCTTGCCGGCCAGGGCGGGTGCTGACTGCAAGGCTGGCGGAGCTAAGGAAGAAGCGGTCACACATTTCCCAACGTGTTTAATATGTAAAAGGATAATAAAAAACGGTAGTCAGAGTTGCAATTTTTAATACATTCTCGGAATGTTCGCCTCCCAGAGCATTATTTCAAAGAACTGAAGATTTACCTAACTTTTTGATTCAAAGACAGTTAAATTCAAAAAGACCTAGTTCCACAGGGTATGCTAGTTAACTCACTGTGAGAATTAAATACAGACAAGTCAGGCTGTAGCTAACAGTAGAGCAAGGACTAATGTGACAGAAATAGCTAGAGCAGACGGAAGAAGAGGCAACCAATCCTAAAATTACTTTTCCCTTGTAACAGCATATTAAAACTTCAACATAAATTATACATTCATTATGGCATTTAGAAACCATCAGAGACATGCACATGACAGGCTGCTGAGCAGAGTCTCATCTTCCGGCCCTGGGTCCAGACCACACATTTACAGGGATCCTCTGCTTTCCACACTTTCAATAGAGGTCTGGCTGTCATTTTATATAAAAATAAGACGAAACATAAAGCCTCACCAAACCAGGACTCTCATATTAAAAAACAACAACAAAAGAAAACGCATCACTACAACTAAAGCCGTGGCTCTCAAACTTGAACTTTCACCTTAGCTACATGGAGAGCCTGCGAACAGCTTGCACTCCAGGGGCCTCATTCTGTCTCTAACAAGCGCCCAGGAGCCCACTTTGAGAACCAAACAAACCAGTTTGGCCGGCAGGGGACAGTGTGGAGGCCATACTGCTGGGCTGCTGGCTGGGCCTAGGCGGACAGCTGGGCAGACTTGGCCAGCCCACAGTGCACCTACAACTAAAGCCATGTTCAGTGTACTTCGTGTTGAAAAGCTGACCCTAGGGGACGGGATGTAAGGTGAAAAGGCACGGAGTCAAGTCATCCTTGGAATGAGGTTTGGGTTTTTTTGCTGTTTTTCCTATTTTCTTTAAAATCACTGTAAGGTCAAGCCCAAACATTCTGGGAGGTAAACAGGCTCTTGTACCTATGGGGCGGGGGGGGGGGGGGGGGGGGGAGGATAAGCTTGACGGAGCAGGAGGTGGGGTGGGATCTGTGGTCACTCCAGGACTCTAAAGCAGGGTCTGGGCATAAGAACCCTGAGCAGCGGGAAGACAAACGCCTTCCTCAGGTTTAGGAAGGTACCATGTACGACCTTAAAGGGAGCCCCAGAAACGAGCTTTCCAGTTGGGCTGAGAAGTTGTTTCTGGGTTTGTTTCACAACAGTGAACAGAAGCAGCACCGGGCTCCAAGGCACAGCCAGTGCTCCCCACACTCACCAGAGCCCCTGGAGCTGGACCCTGGCCCTGCCCAGCTAGCAGCTGGTAGGCACAGCCATGCCCTGGACCATCTGCTTAGCCAGGTAGCACGGTCCTATGTACAACTGGGCTGAAAATCCTGAGGGAGCCGACACCCAGGCTTGGAGCCCCGGGCGTCAGCCTTGCCTTGTAAAGCAGGGTCTATTGGCCTAAGACGTCCTACAGGTGCAGCGGCCCCCTGACAACCCTGTGTCCCTTCCCCGAGCGCTTTGCCTTCCCAGGGACAAGGATGCAAGAAGGCATGGAGGGCCGGCGGGCCGTGCTACACGAGGCAGGGAAACCCCAGGCTCACTGTGCCAACGAGGGGTTCTTCCTCTTCAGGGGCGCAGCGCCAGTGTGCCTGGTGGTGGTCTTGGGCCTCCACAGCGAAGAGCTCTGGGCATGGCCTGCCTCCAGGTAAAGTGCTGCGTGCCGGGGCTGTGTTGGGGTGTCAGCTGGGGCAGCAGTGGGCTCAGAAAAGGGGCGCCAACAGCAACTTGCCTGAGAAGAGCTTGTGTCACCAGGGCAGAGCTGATGGTGGGCAGCCCAGGCCCTGGCACCCACCTGAAGGGAGGAAGGCTCACCCAAAAGAAGGCCAGCGTCCGCCCCGTCCGCCCTCTGCCCACGGAACACACAAGGCAGTTCGTCACCTTAAAGGATACTTTTAGGACGAAGTTAAAATAGACACGTATTTGTCTCCCCCGTGATCCAATGTAAGACTGTTGCTATTGCTTCTTTCAGAGGATGGAGAGAGCATCAATACCTTGACACCAGAGGCCGGGGAAGGGCAAAAGTGCGCCCCCAGCCCCGGTGGGCGACTCACAGCGGCTCCAGCGGCGCCCTGGCCTCAGGAGGCGTCCCTGGCTATCCACCCGCTTTCCGTGAGGAAGTTCAGAATCCTTTTCTTGAGGACCTTGTCCAGGTAGCTGGGGAGGCGGCTTTTGGAGGGCACGCCCTGCCGCTTCTGCAGGTGGTCTTTGATGATGATGGTCTTCACCGTCACGTAGCGCGCGGGGCTCAAGTTCAAGGAGCTGCACAGCACCTTCTCACGGTCGGACAACAGCTCGAACCCAGGGAGGTTCTCGATGGCTGCGAACTCGCCGTCCTTGCCATCCTCCTTCCCCCTCTTGGAGCCGGCCATGTTTTTGTTCTCCTTCCTCCGCTCCCGCTTGTGCCTGGCGGCCTCGTACTCGGCCGACTCCTCCATCTTGGTGATCCCGTTCCGCCGGTAGCGTTGCAGCTCTCGGATTTTGGCTCGGAGCATCTTCTCCTTGTGCATGTTCTCAAACAGGTCGTCAAACTCCTTGCACGACATGAACTGGTAGAGCGGCCGCAGCTTCAGCCGCAGCTCCTTCTCTTCCTTGGTGATCTTGCGCTTGGGCGCCCTCTCCTTCTCCTTCCGCTCCTTCCCCAGGAAGGCGGGCACCAGGTTGTAGTCGCGGGCGATGTTCTTGCGGCGCTGGCGCTCCTTCAGCTTGCGCACGTACATGTCCACGTGGGCGCGCTTGAGCTCGATCTCCACGTCGTCGTCGTCGTAGTTCACCGAGAGCCCGCTGATGAGCGTCTCCGCGTCCTGGTCGTACTCTATCTCGTAGTCGTCCCGCAGTGGCATGTAGCCCAGCTGCTGCTGCTCTGCCACCGAGATGTCCAGCGGAGGCAGCGGTGTGGTGAGGCTGGGCGAGAGAGGCCCCCCGCTGGGGCAGGTGTGGTCGGTCACGCGGTTGGGGATGGTGTCGGGGATGCAGGCCTTGCCCAGGTTCCCGTGGATGTACATGCTCACATAGTGCTCCATCACTTCCTGCGGGGTCCGGGAAGCACCGACGTGCGCGGCCATGTCTTCCTACAACAACAAAGGCCGAGTGTCATGAACAAGGAGCAAAGTGCGCCACACCCTGCCGAGGAGGACGGCGGGCGGCGTGGAAGGCAGCGGGCGGCGCGGAGCAGCGGCTCTGTCCGCCCAGGGTGGCAGGAGCCGACCCAGACCCCGAGCAGTGCCGCGCAGTGCGGCGTGGTGTGGCGCGGCGCTCCGTCCTGCTGCCTCCCATCTGTGCGGAACTGGGCCCACTGCCAACTGTCCTCGTCACGGGACACGGGGACACGGGTGGGCCGAGGATGCCCCAACGCCTCTTTGAGGCTCGTCTCTGGGGCAAGGCCGTGGCCCGGGGCTGATCAGGAAGAGCCCAGCACGTGCCGCTCGCCTCGGAGAGGGGCAGCCGGTCCCTCGCTGCGCTGTCTGCAGGTGATGGCAGCTCACAGCTTTGGGGGACGGGGTCCTCATTTATGACACATTCCACACCTAAGAAGGCAGCGGCAACCCCGCCGTGGCTGGCGGCATGCACCCCTGCTGGCTATTAAAGGGAGGAAACCTAAAGCTCCCTCAATCTTTTCCTTCCACCAAGTGGCCTCTTCCTTAACGCAACCACGAAAGCCACTTCAGAAAGCAACTGCCCCAAACGCGCCCCCACTCATCCGCCCCCCAGTGCCCCAGGGAGGGACAGGCTGGCTGTCCCCCAGCCCGTGACCCGCGCCGCTCCTCGGCCAGCAGCCAGCCATGCCGGGAGGGGGCGCGGGCCCCATGCCAGGCCCTCCGCCCAGGCTCCCTGGGGCCAGGCGCAGGCACGCAGGCAGGGCTGCTCCCACCAACTGCGGGGTGTGGCACAACGTGGGAACACAGGGCAGCCGAGCCGAGGCCAGGCCTCCCTGGGAATCATCAGGAACAAAAGAAAACTTACAGGACTCCTGTTGAGAACGGCACTATGAGCGCCGCGTCTATTGCTTTTATTTTCTCAGTAAACATCTGACCCACACAAAACACCAGTCACAGCCACCTCTGGCTGGGGACGTTCACCTCGGAGACCCAGGCTGGCAGGGGCCCCCTCAGCCTCAGACCCTCAGACCTCAGGCCCTTCGCTTCCCAGCACAGGAAGAGGCTGCAGTCGGTGAGGCCAGGCCCAGGGCTCCGCTAGTGCAGCAGCCGCGGGCGAGGCAGAAGCTGTGGCCTCACCCCAATTCCCCGAGTCACAGACGCAGCCAGGAGAAGAACCCACGGACCTGGCGAACTCCGCAGCCCCTCCACTCCCCTCTCCAGGTGACTGCTCACAGGGTGTCTGCCAGAGCTGCTTAGCGGCTTCACTGAGCACGGCCCACCAGGCCAGGCCTTAGAGCTATTCCACAGAGCCCGCTCACAGCCCTGAGCCCCAGCCCCGGCACACAGCCCGGCCTGCCGCTGCCGCCCGCGCTGCTGTGCCAGGCTCCAGGCTTCCAAGGCTGGCTCTGCCCCTTTGGCTGTGTGACCTGGGCACACTGGGAGCCTCTGTGCCCTGCTCCTCAGCTGAAGTCCTGGGAAGGAGGAGCCACTCCAGTTCATGCCAGCATGCACACGGCCTGGGCGCAGGCCGGAAATGTGCTCCAATCAGCAATCCTGCCACCGGCTGCCAGCCTCCCTCCACCACACGCGCACCCTGAAGACCCAGATCCTCCGGGAAGCCTTCAATGTGCCCTCAGCTCCATCCACGCCTCTCCCTCCCAGGGCTTCTCATTCTTTGTCCTTGTGGATTTTGTGAGGACGCAATTAAAATAAAAATGCCAAGGCCAACACGCACCACCAGCCTGGGTGGGTGCAGGGTACTGCTCCATTTCACGGGTGAGGAGAAGCAGCGGCCAGACAGGCATTAATGCTGTAACCACAGACGAGGCCCCGCCCTGACGTGAAGAAGGGCTGTGAGCAAGCACCTGAGCCTCCTGCCCTGGCTCCACAGCCTCCCGCCCACGTGGGTGGCGCTCTACAGCACACGCAACACGCTGTGCCCACGCTGCCACCCGGGGCTCCACGCCTGTCCTCCATCATCAAGGGCGTGGGGACAGCGAGGCACAAGAGAGGATAAAGCCGGGCTTCCTTCCCTCGGTGGTGTGGGTCTGCGTTGTCTCCACATCACTACATCTTTGTTTCTTCAAATGAATGAGCCTCAAAAGGGACAGATGCCAAAGAAGGCTACCTCTCCTGGAAGCTACTGGAAGCAGCTGGCACCTGACTGGCCAGCAGCCAAGGAGGAGGGGCAGGAAATAAAATCCACTGCAAACATTCTAAAGGACAGGAGAGAGCCTCTCTCCCAAGGGACAAGGAAATCCCTTTTCTAGCTTTCTACCAAAGCAACACCAGCAGAATCTGGCTGAGACCCAAGCACCCCGTGTTCAAAGCAGCACTGTTCACGGTAGAGGAGATGGCCACTATCGGGGGACGGGATGAGGTGCGTGCACACAGTGGAATACTATAAAGCCATTAAAACGAAACGTTGACACCTGCTACAACATGGGTGAATCTGGAGGACATGGCGCCACACGAAGTCTAACACTGCAGGATTCAGCTCAGAGACGGGCTGGGAGAGGAGGATGGGGAGGTCTTGTTTAATGAAGACAGAAATCAAGTGTGGCTCAGTGGTTAGGCACCATCACACAAGCACCTGAACTCCAACCTCAGTGCCACCAAAGAAATTATTAGTACTTAGTGCACCTGCACTGTACCAGTAAAATATTCTATGTCATACAGAGTTTACCCCAATGAAAACAATCCAGTGTCTTAAACAGAAAATAACAGAGGTGTGTCAAGGGCACATGTGTGTGTCCTGCCACAGTGTCTCCTTAAGAGCGCCCTAGCCAGCGGCACACGCTACCTGGATGGTGCTGGAAACAGGCTTTGCACTTTCTGCAGACTGGCAACTCCCAGATGCAGGTGTGTGGGCCTCATCGCTGCTTAGCATGAGCTTCCCGGGCTCTCACAGTGCGGCCTGTTTGCTCTGTTTCCGTAGTACCCACAGTCCTCATGGCAAGACATGAGGGCAGGCCATCCAGCCCGCAGCCAGCACGAGAGCCTTCTGCCTGGTGACAAGTGGAGGAGGCGCTGCCTCACAAGCTCCTTCCCACCTACCCACAGAGGTGTCGGCTCTGCTGGTGCCAACAGTGGCCCAGTGCACCACGGAGTCAGGCTTGGGCCCAGACTCACGTCTGGTTTCGCAGATGTTCCAACATTGGTAAAGGTGAGGCGTCTGCCCAGGGAGTAGGAGACACGAGCAGGAAGGAAGTCGGCGCCAGCCCTACCTGCTGAGGGCTGTGGCAGTGCCAACCATGAGCTCACACAGCCTCAGCCACCCTCTCTGCCACCCTCCCCCACCGGCGGCCCCCAACTCTGGTCTTCCACTTTGGGTCAGCTAGCTTCCGCTGTGCTCCCCAATACACCAGACTCCCCTTCTTCCCTGCTGCCTTTGTTCCTGCACAGCCTTCTGAGCCCCCACCGGGGGCCCGGGGGCCCCTTGCACCTGCAGGGTCACGAAGCCGTCATGCCAGCAGGGCCTCACCGTGGGGGCCAGCACGCAGTGAGTGCCGAGCAAGCACTGAGGACGGACGGAGGCTCAGCGCCACGACCTGCGTACCACACACCACCCGCCCGCAGATGCCAGCTTTCAGGTGGAAAGGCAAGACCACTGCCCCCACGGACACCCACCGGCCTCCACCCCGCAGACCCAGGCGAGAGGCCCCGCACTGCTGCTTTTCTACCCATCTCTTCCTGCACAGCTGAGCACTGGCCCTCCTGGCCACTCTGCAGGGCAGCTGGCCTCAACTCCTCCCCAGTGACAATCCCATGTCTCTGGAGCCAAGGGAAACCTGCAGGCCCCTGTAGGTGTTCATGTGTTCCACAGACCCCCTCGGAACACTGGCTGCCTGAATGCCTCCAGCACCCCCCAACAGGCCCGGGGTCACTTGACTACTGGCCAGGGTCCCCCGTCCTCTTGCTGCCAAAAGTGCAGGCACACCAGTGCCAGGCCCTGGTACGGCTGCCCATCCCCAAACCCTCCCGCTACTTAAACAGCAACATGCTGTTCCCTCCAGGCCCCAGGTCTCGGTGCCAGGCTCCAGCAATGCCCCTCTCCCCCCTCGGCCTCCCACAGGAAGCTGTACTACCCCAAGGCCATCCCTCACCAGCAGCCATCTGAAGCTGGAAGGGAACAGTCTCCCTCTATACTGCTGTCCTCAAAGCCCCGCTGCCTCTGCCCACCGTCCAGGCTTCCCAGCACATGCGCCCACCCAGTGATCTTCCCCCACTGAGCCTCAGCAGAACACCTTCCCAGCCTCCCACTCCAGCTGCAGCAGCAAGCTGCTGGCCTCCGACCTGGACTGCTTAATGTTCTCATTCGGTGGGTAGGCCCACACTCGGTCACACAGGCCTGCAATGGATCCTGGTTCTGTCACGTGCAAAGCTATGGGATCCAGGACAAGAGCTTAGATTCTTGCAGGCGCTACCTTTCAGCTGTACACTAAGAGCAGCAGGCCACCCACAGGGCCGCCGTGCCACATCAAGTACTCACACAATGGACACAAGACCCAAAGTACACCCTCAGTGTGCCAGTATCGGGGCACCTGCTCAGAATGGACCACAGAGCCACGCTGTAGTGCCTTGAATCAAAAAGAAAACCCAGAGGGAAAGCAACGGGCCCAAGATGGCCAGGTGCCTCTCCTCCAGGGCCCTCTCTGCGGGCTGTTAGTAACGTTTACAATCAAGGCGAGGCTGTGGTTTTGGGGTGGCGATGGTGCCGGTGGGTAGGTAAGAAGTCAGGAGGATGAAGATTCCAGGGTGGTCGATGGGGGCCATCCAGGGCCACAGACTGGCCCGGAAGGCTGGTCACTGCTTGAAGAGAAGATGAAGGCAGCGCGGGGCCTGGCACAGAGGCAGGGGAGGGGCGAAGGGAACGGGAAGCAGGGTCCCGGCGTCCCTGGGGAGGGTCCCGGGCTGCTTCCCTACTTCCAAGCAAGTCTGCTTGCCACAGACCCCAGGCCCGCGAGGCCCCGGCGAGCTCCGCTTCCCCTCGCGGTGAGGCGCGGGCGGCAGCTCCGAGGCCCCACACAACCGCCCGCTCTCCTCTTCCCCTCGGCGGGCCCCGCACGGACCCAGCGGGGACACCTCGGCCCGGCCGGTCCCGTCCCTCGCAGACATCCGGACCGCGAGCGGAGCCCAGGCCCAGCGCCTCCCCCGGCAGGGCCCCGCGGGCCCCGGAGCGGCGGACGCCCAGGCCCGCGGCCTCCACCGCCTCGGCGCCCCGGCCCAGGCCGGTCCTCCCGCCGGGAGCCGCCCGGGAGCCGCGCCGGCCCACCTGCGGCTGGCCCGGGGTCAGGGGTCGGAGGTCAGCGGGCGCGCTCCGGCCCCGCCCGCCCGGCCCGGGGCCCCGCGCCCGCCCGCACTCGCCCGGCCGCCCGCGCTCACCCAGTTGCCGAAGCCGAACTGCTCGATGGCGTCCAGCAGCAGCTGCTCCTCGCGGCTGGTCCAGCCGCCCTCGGCCTCGGGCCCCCAGAGCGTGAAGCGGCCGCCGTCCACCAGCTGGTAGCCGTGGTAGCGGCGGTGGTGGCCGATCTCGGCGCCGGCCGAGAAGCACTCGGGGCACAGCTCGATGTCCTGGCACTCGGTGCAGCGGAAGCGCAGCGGGCTCACCTCGGCCAGGCAGTACACGCAGTACTTCTTACCGAGCTCCGCCATCTTTCCCCGCTCGCCCGCCGCCCGGCCCGCCGCCGCCGCCGCCGCCGCCGCCGCGCCCCCGGCCGTCAGCGCCCCGCCGCTCGCCGGGCCCGCCGCGCCCGCGCCGCCGTCCGCCGCCGCCGCCGCCGCCGCCACGGCCACCGCCGCCCAGGCGCCGCCGGAGCCGGCCTGCCGGGCCGCGTCCCGCCTCAGCACGCAGGCGCCCTCCGGCCCGGCCCGGCCGCCGCCGCCAGCGCCGCCGCCGCCGCCGCCGCCGCCGCCGCCGCCGCCGCCGTCGCTCCGCCGCATCGCGCAGGCGCCGACAGCGCGTCCCCGCCCGGGGGCCCGGCCGACCGCTCTGCGCCTGCGCGGTACGCCCGTGCCGGCCGCCGGGCCAGCCGGGGTAGCCTCATCGCTCCGCCCCAGGCCTGGCAGAAGGCCACGCTCGGGCCGGAAGTCAAGCCGGAGGGCCACGCCTCCTGAGCGCGAGCCGGCGCCAGCGTCCAATCATCCTCGCCTGTCGCCCGATGGTCTCTCCCTATTGGTCCATCTATTTCCGGCCGGCGGGGAGAAGGGGGCCGGGCGTCGGGGTGAGCGCCTGGCCAATCGCGGGGCCTACCGTGCGCGCCCCTGGTTGCCCCGGGAAACCTAACAGCTCGCAGCCGCGACCGGCGGACATGGACGGGGACGAGCGCTCTGAGCCCTCGGAGGACGGAAGCGAAGATGGAGAGAGCCTGGACACGACCAAGATGTCTGAAAACCAGTTCCTGGATGAGTCCGTGGAGCCGGAGACCGAGCCAGGGTGGGAGCCGGAGGCGGGCGCGGAGGAGTTGGAGACGGCCGAGATAGAGGCTTGGGAGAGGGCCGCCGCCGAGGACCAGCCCGAGGAGGCCGAGGGAAGCTCGGCGGCCGCCGAGGCCCCGAGCGAGGACAGGCTGGCCGAAGCCCAGGAGGAGGAGCCGGCCGAGTCCGACTGGGAGGTAGCCGAGGCGGAGGAGCCGGTGGCGGCGCGGAGGAAGGAGACGGACGCGTTCCCCCGGGGCTCGCTGCCGCTGACCACCATCGCCGAGGAGGCCGCTGCGGAGCGGCCCCGGAGGGGCGGGGAGGAGGAGGAGGCGGCGGCGGCGGCGGAGGAGGAGGAGGAGGAGGGAGCGGCGGCGAAGGGCCGAGGCAGCGAGCCCAGGGAGGGCCGGGGCCCCGACGGGGGCGCGGGGGACAGGGCCGAGGGAAGCCGGGAGGCGCTGCCGCCGTCGGGCCAGCCGGACGACGAGGAGTGGTCGGAGGAGATGAAGAAGCAGCAGGAGCAGCAGCTGCGCCGCGAGCTCCTGGACCAGTACCACCTGCTGCTGATGGAGCGGAACCGCTACCGGCGCTACAACGCCTACCTGCAGCACCGGATCTGCGAGTCCCTGCGCAAGAAGAAGGGGCTGGAGGCGGCCGAGACGCCCGAGCGCGCGGCCGAGCCCGAGGCCCCCGAGAAGGAGCAGGCCTACCTGCACTACCTGGCCATCCTGGAGGAGCTGAGGAAGCAGGAGGTGGACGACCTGGAGTGGTACCACCAGGAGCTGGGCCAGCTGAAGCAGCAGTGCCAGGAGAAGCAGGCCCGGGTGGAGAAGGAGTGGCGCCGCTTCCAGGCCCTCAAGAAGCAGGTGGTGATGCAGGTGATGGGCAGCTGCCGCCTGCGCGGCGGGCGCCAGGCCGCCCTGCGGGAAGTGGAGCAGACCCAGGCGCTGGAGGACAAGAAGGAGAAGGAGATGAGCGCCTTGCGGCTGGAGAACGTGCAGCTGAAGCAGAGCCTGGTGCACTTCCAGACCAGGATGAGGGCTCAGGAGGACCTGTCGGAGGGCCTGCTGCTCATCGACTTCGAGCAGCTCAAGATCGAGAACCAGACCTTCAACGAGAAGGTGGAGGAGCGCAACGAGGAGCTCTCCAAGCTGCGCAACAAGGTGACCAACAACGTGCAGACCATCACCCACGTGAAGGAGAAGCTGCACTACGTGGACATGGAGAACGCCTGCAAAAAGACGCAGCTGATGGAGGTGGAGTCTCAGGTGTCCCTCGGGAGGGACATCCTGACCAGGACCAAGCAGGCCCGTGACAGCCTGCGGATGGACAACATCAAGCTCTATCAGAAGAGCGGGCTTCTGGGTAAGGAGTCGCTCCTCCGGGATTTGGAGGTAAAGGTGAACAAGACGGCGGTGCTGAGCCAGCGCCTGGAGTCCCTGAAGCGCCACCACACGGGGCTCATGCTGTCCTGCAAAGGTGTGAAGCAGAAGATCCGGGAGGCCAAGGCCTTCCTCCCCTCCTGACCCCGGGGCAGGAGGGCGGGCAGGGCCGAACGCCGGCCCGCTCAGCACACTGTCGGCTCCCCTCCGCACACGCGCGCTCTACTTGCTGCTGCTCTCTTCAGAAGCCGATGGTACTTGGGATGGAAACCTATTTTTGAATCTCGGGTTTCAGCTTCCAGATCAGGGCTGAGCACAAAAATTGGGCTAGCAAAATATGAGATTAAGCAAAAAACCGGTCTAGACAGGACCAGCGACTGACTTCTCACAGTACGCCGTCAGCTGGCCTCACGCTGAGCAAGCCTGTCATTTCAAGCACCTCATGGAAAGGAGCACAGTCCCGTCCCGGTATCTGGAAGGAGCCTTCAGTCTCACCAATGGGCAGCATTTAGAAAAATTTCTCTGCAATAAGCCATTAACTTCTCTTTGGACTTATTAAACTATGTAGAATCACGGTCGCTGTCAGCAGCTCACTAATTCCCCTAATCTTATATCATACAGGACTACTTTCTAGGGTAATGTAGAAGAATCCCAGGAAAGGAGAGATGAGCAAGAAAGGGGCTGACATTCTATCTTTCCAGTCACAGGGCTCTCAACTAGTTTCTGTGCTTAGAAGATGCTCCCATGTTGACTGACTGCCTTGCGTGGCTTTTTTTTTTTTTTTTTGTCAATCGTGGGGTTTGAACTCTAGGCTTGGGTGCTGTCCCTGTGCTCTTCAGCTCAAGGTAAGCACTCTACCGCTTGAGCCACAGCACCATTTCTGGTTTTCTAGTGGTTTATTGGAGATGAGTCTCACAGACTTTCCTGCCTGGCTGGCTTTGAACTGTGACCCTCAGATCTCAGCCTCCTGAGTAGTTAGGATTACAGGCGTGAGCCACCTGTGCCCAGTTCCTTGTGTGGCTTTTCCAGTTAGGTGGGGGAGGGGGGGGGAAGTTAACCAAGAAAGAGCAGCACATTCACTAGTTAAGAGAATTCTAGACCCTGGGCATTCTGTTTGCAAGGTCACACTGCTATTCTACCTATAGCCACTGGTTCTCTACTCCTACCCCTCTTCCTGCACTACGTGCACCCCACTCAGATAAGAACCTAGGAGGGGGGCTGTGGGGTCCGGTGGCCACCACACCGGTTGTAGGGTTAGGGCATTAATAGAATACCAGTCTAATACCATTAATCTAATACCATTTTCTGAACGTCTGCTGCGTGCCACTCACTGATCAGCACCTATATTGTATTAAAAAATAATTGCGGGCTGGGAAGGTGGCTCAGTGGTAGAGCGCTTGCCTTGCATGCCTGAGGCCCTGGGTTCGATTCCTCAGCACCACATAAGCAAAAAAAAAAAACAACAAAATAATTGCAAGCTGGGCGCTGGTGGCTCTTCCTTGTAATCCTAGCTGCTCAGGAGGCTGAGATCTGAGGATCGCAGTTCAAAGCCAAGCCCGGGCAGGAAAGTCCGTGAAACTCTTATCCTCCAATAAACACTCAGAAAACCGGAAGTGGCGCTGTAGCTCAAGTGGTAGAGCGCTCGCCTTGAGCTGAAGAGCTGAGGGACAGTGCTCAGGCCCAGAGTTCAAGCCCTATAACCGACAAAAAAATAACTGCAGGGGGGCTGGGAAGGTGGCTCAATAGTACAGGGCTTGCTTTGCGTGCATGAGGCCCTGGGTTCGATTCCTCAGCACCAGATAAACAGAAAAAGCCGGAAGTGGCGCTGTAGCGCAAATGGTAGAGCGCTCACCTTGAGCTGAAGAGCTGAGGGACAGCGCCCAGGCCCTGAGTTCAGGCCCCATGACTGATAAAAATAAATAATTGCAGGAAGAGAAGGATGAAATGCCAGGAACAAGTGGGTAGCACAGCAGAACAGGGAAGGTAGTTACCATCACTTCCGGCAAAGACCCCTCTGGGCCCCAGCAAACCCTGGAACTAGGGTTTTTCCTGTGAGTGAAAAGCAGAGGCCATGGGTACTATTGCAGAGGCGTCCCACCATGCCAGAGACTGGACCCAGACACATTTGAGGCAAACATTATATGAAACTAGATCTTTGCTTTTATTTTTCCGAAGTTAACACATTTCATCAGTAAAAGGAAATCATTTGGGGTGACAGCACTTTGGGATTTTTAAATTTTGCAAGTGCAAGTTCACCTGCAGCCAGAACGTGGTTTAGCCACTAGTCTCGCATGCTGTCCACAATATCAGGGTTAATGCCTGTCTGTGGCGAGTGCACAGAGCCATGGAGCTGTGCCAGGACCACGGTGGCTCCTGCCTTTGAAAGCAGCTTCTTGGTTTTTTTTTTTTTTAAATTTAAATGACTAAATATGTGCATACTTTAATGATTGTATGCACACATGCATACATACACACACCCCACACAGGCCAGTCCTGGCACTTTAACTCAGGGCCTGGGCACTGTCCTTGACCAAGTTTGGTCAAGGCTAGGGCTCTACCACTTGAGCCACAGCTCTACTTCCAGCTTTTTGTTGGTTGATGAGTGATAAAGAGTCTGATGGTCTTCCTGCCCAGGCTGGCTTTGAACTGCGATCCTCAGATCTTAGCCTCCTGAGTAGGATTTGCAGGTGTGAGCCAACAACGCCCAGCATGTGTAGAGGTTTTTTGAGGCAGGGTCTTGCTATGTCTGCCTGGTCTTTAACTTGAGATACTCCTGTCTCCCAGGTGCTGGGACTATGGACATATACTTGTCATACCCAGTTCATTTTTTAAATTCACAACTTTTGGCATGTAAGACATAGAGTTTCCACGGGAAAGGCCTGAGTCTAGCTGCCTGTGGGAATGTTCTAGGTTTTTATGGTGCAGTTCTTTTCAAACTCTTGGCTTTTAAGATTAATCTTTACAAGCCACCAGGCTGTGGCTAAGACCTTGTTTTAAGCTTTGGTTACAGAAAAAGACGATGAGGCTTAGAGAACTTGAGAAAGTTTTCCAATGGCTGGCTGGGAAGTGTGGTTTCTTTCTGGGTTTCTCCCAAGTGCTCTAGATCAGGGGCAAAAGGCTTCAGAAGCAATGTCTAAAGACAAACAAGGAGGCTCTGGGGCCAGAGCGACGATTCCAAGTGCGCGGCTGGCTCATTCTGTTGTGATGTCGTGGGAGAAGGCCATTCCCCCTGCGAGGCCTGGGCACACTGGGAAAGGAGGCTCTGGCAGCTGGTCCAGGGAGGTGGGGCTTTGTGTAGCCCCACCCAGGGGAGCCAGCTGGTTGCAGGGGCAGAAGGCAGTGCTGGCAGAGCAGACAGGAGCCATGTGGTGCTGAGGCCTCTCCAGTAGCCAGGCCATTTCCCAACTTCCTAGACAGGCAGGCAAGGGACTAAGTAAATAACATCAGCAAATACTTGAGTTCCTATCTGGGACCTGAAAAGCAAATCCTGTTCCCTTCCCAAGTCCAAATTCTCCATGTATTGATGTGAGCTCACCTGACACCTGGCCCTGGGCTCAAAGGCTGCCCTCTGCTGGCCAGGCCCCTCCCGAGGGGAGGACCAGCCGGGAGCTGCCGCTATCCCCTCATTCAAGTGAGTGCTTTGCTCTCACTGTGCCTCTGTGGCAGGCTCACCCGACAAGTGCTCACACCAGGGCAGGGTGTCTGGGTCTCCCGTGGCCCATGAGCCAAGCGCCTACGCACGGGACACTGGGAGGCAGCACTAGGCTGCACACTGGGTCCTGCACCTGGGAAGAGATCAGAACTGCAGCAAGGCTCCAAGCAAACGTGACCCCTAGAGGGCTGCTCAAGCCGGCATCTGGGCAAGGCGGGGGTCCCAGGCCCTGTGGTGAGAAACAGCAACTTCTGTGTCACATGGCTGGAGAACCGCCGTAGAGCTTCCGTGAAATGATGTGCACCGGCACCAGATGCAGTGCCTGTAGCGAGCGCGCGTCCACCTCTCAGCACGACTGCTGCCACCTCACCTCAGCCCACGATGACAGTGCCAAGAGGAGAACTTTTGGCTTGCAGTCAGGGGATCTGCAGCGGGGCTGGGCATCAAACTACCGTGGCTCTGTGCGAAGACCTCCAGCACTGTCCACAGGTGACAGGAGGGCACTCTTCCAAGCTCACTCCACTGAGCAGTGAGGGCCGAGTTGTGAACACTCGGTCTCATAGGAACTAGCCCACAGCGAGCACAGAACCTACATGCCTGCAGACCAGGTGGAAGGCAGCCGGGGGGGGGGGGGGGGGGGGGGGAAGGGCAGGGAGAAGGAGGAGGGAGTCTAAAGCTGCAAGCAAGCCAGACTAAAGAGAGGTGCCCAACTTGGAGGGGGCACTGAACCCTCGAATCCCAGGCCTAAGCTACCATAACTGCCATACACACACATACGTATGTATGTATATATGTATATATCATTTTTGCTGGTCACGGGACTTGAACTCTGGGCCTGGGCGCTGTCCCTCAGCTCTTCAGCTCAGGCTAGTGCTCTACCACTTGAGCCACAGCACCACTTCTGGCTTTTTCTGCTTATGTGGTGCTGAGGAATTGAACCCAATGCCTCATGCATGCGAGGCAAGCCCTCTACCACTGAGCCACCTTCCCAGCCCCACAGCCCTATATTTTTGATGAAAAAATCCAGGAAGCAAATTTTTATATATTCAAGCATTATAATAGAATCGAATTTTGGCCATAAAATTCAAAGAATTTTAACTAGAAACCAACAGTGAGCATAAGTAACAATTTTACATGACTTTTATTTAATAAAACCACATATTTACAATTCAAAAAGTCCTACTTTAAAACACATTACTAAATAAAATTAAAGGTGACCTGTACAAGCAATGAAAACATGATGCGTAGCAAGGGTTACCGACAGTTTTCTATCAATAAGGTGTTCAAAATAGTCAAAAACTGAGCAGTTAAAAAGTACCTTGGACGTGAATGCTGTTTCCCCAGCAGAGCTGCGGCATGGCGGCCTCGAGTCTGAAACTCAGGGGAGGTGCAGGCTCCCTTGGGTGCCCCTTGGGGTCCCGCTCACCTACACAGTGTCGACAACACACAGGAGTATGACGCTGCGTTTGCCAGAGGCCGGCGGCACCTCCGGAGGGGCCGAGCGCCCGGTGGGCCGCACCACGCCACCCCGCGGTTCCCTGAGCATGCGGGAAGAGCTGTCTGCACCTGGGTGCAGCCGGGAGTCTGGTTAAAAAAATGTCACGATGCCCACGCTTAGGTCAAATGGGTGAGGCATGGTGAGCACTGAGTTGTGAGCACTCGAGAGTTTCACAACAGCCTTCCGAACAGACTGCCCCAGGCCCTTGTCACCCACCTGTGCAAATGAAGGATGATCGTTATGTACAGTAAGAAAATATATACATCTTTTAAAGAACAGAACCGTCCACATTGTGGACCAAAACTAAGTAGGTCTGGGGGGAAGGCCAGCCCAGGGCTGGACAGTCCACTTCCCACAGGCTGCGGGGCCTGGGCTACATTCAACATCTTGATGTCTGGAATGGCTGGGTCTGGAGGCCGCTGGCTGCTGGCCAAGACAGCGCCTCCTCCAAGAGGTCAGGCTAGGCCAGCCTTGGAAGGCTGAGGCAGAAAGCGATGCCCACGGTGCCCTGCAGTCCCCTGGGACAGCCCAGGTGAGAACGTAAGGGAAAGGGGACACCAAGAGCAAGGGCACGTGGCAGAATGGGATGGAGGCTTGAAGAGGCCCGGGCTGCCACCCCCAGCGAGGGCGGATGAGCAGAACCTCACAGGCCTGCGGCAGCAGACCCGCTCTCCCGCTGCACGCGCACCGCCCGAGCCTCTCAGGGCTCCTGACATGAGGGGCTGGCTCAGGGGAGGGGGCTCATGGACAGCGTGGACGGCTGGACCGCAAGCCACACACGTCCTTGCGGCCTGAGTCTTCCGCTCTGGCCTATCAGTTCACAAAAATGACAAGGAAAGCTAGAACAAAAAAAACTCACCGATGAACTTGGGGAACTCGGGGGAGGGGCTGGTGCTGGGCACTGAGGACGCTAAGGCTGCCCAGCTGTCAGAGAAGCCGCTCGGTCCTTGGGCCAGCACGCACGCGAAGACCCTCAGAAGCCAAACGTGTGTGGCCACTGCCACTCAGGACTAACCGGGCCGTCTGTGAGACAAAGGCGGAGGGGGCCACTGCGAGAGCAAGGAGCGGCCCACCCGCTGCCTCCGACGCAGCAGGCGCGTCGCTCTCCTCTGCCCCTGCCTCTGCCTCCGAGGCTGCACAGCCCCCGGGCCTGCCTCTATTGCTGTGCTCGACGGCGCGGGCAGCGGAGCGGCCTCTGGCGCGGGCACCGAGGGCGCGCCTGCAGCCTTCCTGCTGTGATTGGTCAAGGCAACATGGTCGAATGTCAACACGAAGGTCCAGCAGGTCCCCAGGAGCTCACGAGCACCCCAGCAAGCAGCCTTAGAGGGCCCATCTTCCTTTCTGCTGTCTTTGGTGGGTAGATTTTTAAAAACAGGACCTCCAGTTCTGGAAAGATTCTCTCCATACCTACACCAGCAATTTCTTTCTTATCCAAAACAGGAGCCAATAGCATCTCCGAGGCTCCCCAGGAACATTCCTCGTGCGTCTTGGCTGAGAGACGGTAACGTACGTCCAGGCGCTTGGCATGGCAGCTTTACAACGTGGCTTGTGCTGGAGGAACGAGAGGGAGGAGACGGCCACCGCCCCGTCTTTGCCCCACATGGGAACCGTGGTGGCTGGCCTCTGCTGGTGCCAGGCCACAGTCCACAGAGCCACTTAAGGCGAAGCCCGGGTTTAATGCTTTGAATGCTGTTTGATTTAGTTTGTTTTTTAATTCTTTGAACGCCGTTTGGTTTTGTTTAAGGCCAACTCCAGCATCGGGACTCTGACAGGCAAACAGCCTGCTTTCCTGTGGCCAGTGTCAGTGTGAAAAATCACAGGTCTGCTTGGAGACCTGCCTTGCGCAGAGAGCGGGGCCGGCGCAGGCTCAGTGTCGGAGGGACGGGCTTCCTTTCTCCATCTCCCGGCTGTCTTTCTGTAGTGCAGCCAGCACCTAGAATCAAGGACAAGGTGGCTGGGGTGAACCTGCCAGGGGCCGCGGGCACAGCGTTCGCTACTCAATACTCACAACATCTGCGCCAAGGACCAGCAGCCCCTCCTGGCCAGTCCCTGGCCAACCCCGCTCTCTGCCCTCTGGGCCTCCTACCTGCATCCAGGTATCTTTCTAACACACCATCTCTGGGCAATCTACACCCATTTCCACCGGCCACAGAGCCAGCATCAGAGCAGGGGGGTGAGGCGAGGCCTGGCACTCTCCAGGCCAGCCCTCCTCCCTCCTGTGCCTTCTGCACTGTGAGCCTCCAGTGCACGCCTAGCAGGGCTCTCCCTTATCACCTCCCCGCCCCCTGGCTCCTCACTCTGCTTCCCCTGAGCTTGCACAGCCGTGCTCAACACGACTTATTCTGTGGTATTTATGCTCGTGCTGGGGCTGGAACCCAGGGCCTCCCAAACAAGCTCCATTTTTTCACTCACAGCTGGTGCTCTACCACTTGAGCAATGCTCCAGTTCTGGCTTTTCTGGTTATTTGGAGATAGGAGTCAAGGATTTGTCTGTCCCTGGCTGGCTCTAAACTGTGATCCTCAGATCTTGGCCTCACGAGTAGCAAGGACTCCCAGTGAACCACCAGCACTTGGCTGTTAACTTTTATTTGAAAATCAGATTTTACTACATGAGATTGATTGCCCAACAACAGCAGCAGAGTCACAGGCCCGAGGGGCCCATGGGGGGGGGGGTGAGGCCCCAGCTACCGTCTTTAGGCCCACACCGAGGACCCTGAAACACAGCCAGACAAGCTGGCGAGGACAAACGTACAGAAGCAACCTCCGGCGTGCAATGCTCACCTGCCTGGGCAGCCTACACTACCATCCCGAATGATCAGAGGTGAAGCAGAAACGTTGTGCATGGGTCTCACATAGGCTGTATGAAAGGAGTAACCACATATAAAAGCCCCCTCCACCTCTGAGTAAACAGGACCACCAACACTGACTTTATTTCTTTTTTCTGTGCCAGCACTGGGGCTTGAACTAAGGGCCTGGGTACTATCCCTTATCTTTTCCACTCAACACTGGCACTTTACCATTAGAACCATAGCAATACTTCTAGCCTTTTCTTTGGGGATGGGGGGGGGGGGGGGGAGATGTTAGTTGGAGAGTCTCACAGACTTTCCTGGCTGGGCTGTCTTCTAATCTAGATCCTCAGATCTGAGCTTTCTGAGTTGCTAGGGTTACAGGGGTGAGCTACCAGTGCCTAGCTATCATTGACTACTTTGAAGGAGCTCACCAGTATCTCAGACTCAAGCACAGATCTAATAGAAATGCCACTGGCCACAGTTCTCCACGACGGAACTGTGCGAACCTGTCGTTCTATTGAAAATTACGAAATGTAGCACAGGCTGCCTCTCTTCTGGACAGTCTTTCCTGATCCCTAAAATGCAAGAAGCAGCATGGTAAAATCCAGGTTTAATGCTTCCTTCTGCGCGTTAATGCACTCGTGTGCACGTGTGCCAGTAGATACAGGCGGGCTAGAGAAGGTCTCAGGTACAGAGCTCCCGCCCTTAGAAGGCACCCGGGAAGGAAGCAGTGAGAAGACCCAGAATCGTGACTATGAGGAGAGGCCTGGCTTTCTCTCCTGACTTCAGAAAACCACTATATGCCACGAGCCCGGAAGATGGCCTCCCACGGAGGCCTGTGAGCTCCATAGTCTGCCGCTGCCATCCTGACATGCTGGAGCTTGGGGAGCCAGGGCCCAGGCCTCCGTTCACACTGTGCCTTTGTTAGTTACCGAGCGGCACTCTCCTCTGCCAGCCCTGCTCATCCTGCGTGCTGCAACTGACTTACTGAAACACAATCCTCCCTTTAGCGGATGCGCTTCAATGATTCCCAGCTCTCCACAGAGACGTACAGAGCTCACCAACAGTCAACTGAGAGCGCCTTTGTAGCCCAAGAAGAAAGCGCTGTCCCTTTGGCCACCATCGCCTCCTCCTGCCACCTTCCTCCCCACCCGCGGCTCAGGGGGCCATCTATGCCCTCCCATCTCCCCACAAGCGCCTGTGTAGGTGTGTATGAAGGGACGCACTCAGTGCCCGGGCCTGGCTGCTCTCACGGAGCATGCCCATTCAAGGGCACATGGCAGCCTACCATTCCTGTTGGTGAACTCAGAAACATAACTCCAGGCTCAGGCTCGTAAGCCAGGGGAATATCTGTGGGGCCACAGCAGCATTTGTTCTCCCAACAGCCCCCAGGAGGAATGGAGCCACCAGCTAGATGAGGCACTGTGCACGGGGACAGGAGGGGCAGACGGGAGGTCAGGTGCGAAAGGGAAACCTCTGGTTAATAAAGAGGTCCTGGATTATATACCTTAGCAGGTGAAGTGTATGGTATGTACACATACCATGGTGTGCAGATTCGGTGAAGCTGCAGAAAAACACAGCCTGCCGAGAGATCAAAGAACTGTAACCTGACTGCACAGGAAGTAATCTTGCCAACAAACTTCGACTGGAGGAAGGAGTTAGGTCAATTGGCAGGACTGCAGAGGCGCCCAGGAGCAACCACCACAGGGAGCCGGGGAAGCGGGAAAGGCTGGGGACAAAGAGCCTCTTTCTTCCACAAGCAAAGGGGGCCATGGAGGGAAGGCCACGGAAGAACGTGTGCTCTATGATGACTGAAAGATCTTTCACCCACACGATACATGGACCTCATTTGGATCCTGATTCAAATAAAATGCATTAATGACACCTGAGACAATCAGAAGCATAAAAGCTCTGGGTCTGATGACAGGGAGGGCTTGTACTGGAGACAGCAGCGCAGTTATGCATGGTTTGGAGAGACAGTCACACACCCATGACACACTGCTAGGGCTTCCGCTTCTGGTCACAGGAGACTTGAGCAGAAGTGGGGCACAGCTGAACTGTGAATCATAGTTACTGCATAGTATCCCTACTCTTACTTAATTTTGCATGTATTTTACATCGTCTTCTTCCTCCTCCTCCTCCTCCACCACAGTGCCACTTCGGTTTTCTGGTGGTTTATTGGAGGTAAGAGTTCTACAAATTTCCCTCCAGGCTGGCTTTGAACTGTGATCCTCAGATCTCAGCCTCCTGAGTAGCTAGGATTACAGGTGTGAGCCACCAGTGCCCGGCTATTTTATACCTTCTTATTAATAAGCAAGTTCAATCATCAGGCTTTGTTGGCTCATGTTTGCAATCCTACCTACAGAGGAGGTGAAGACTGGAAGAATTCTGGCTTTAGGCCAGCCGTTTTTGAGACCCCACATCAATTATGGTGGTCACTCCTGTCATCCCAGCCACATGAGAAGCATAAATAGGAAGATCACTGTCTAGAGTGGCGTAGGCATAAGTTTGAGACATTATCTGAAAAATTACTATAGCAGAAAGGGCTAGGGGCATGGTTTAAGTAGTAGAGTGCCTGCATAGCAATCTAAGGTTTGTAGTTCAAACCCTAGTACTAGAAAAAAACATAATAAAATGAAGGAAGGGGAGGAAGGAAGGAAAGAAGAAAGGAAAGACAGAAGGAAGAGAGAAGGGAGGGAGGGAGGGGAACTGTCAAGAATAGGCGCAGAAGGGCTGGGAAGGTGGCTCAGTGGTAGAGCTCTTGCCTTGCATGCCCTGGGTTCGATTCCTCAGCACCACATAAAAAAAAAAGCTGGAAGTGGCGCTGTGGCTCAAGTGGTAGAGCGCTAGCCTTGAGCTGAAGAGCTGAGGGACAGCACCCAGGCCCAGAGTTCAGGTCCCACAACTGGACCAAAAAAAAAAAAAAATAGGCGCAGACTGGCATACATAGAAAATCATCAGCCTGCTCAGCTACTGACTGAGGACAACTTTGAGCACAACCAGACATCAAGAACCATGGTTGTTGTTGAACTTTTCAGTGTGCTAAAATGTGGAGCCAGCCAACACTGGGAGACCTCTGAGAAGCATGGGGAAGAATGGAGACGCAGGTCCAGGCTGGAGCCGCCCAGTCACTGCGGCTGCCAGGAAGAACTGCAGCGCGTCACAAGGGAAGACAAGGGGCGGGCGCTGGGCTTCGCCTAGGGACCATTGCCTCTCTGGGCTTCCTGAAACGGGCCAATCCCACCCACTTCCCCAAGTACAGAGCCTGCCTCAGGCACAGTCCAGGCAGGGCAGCCGGCCAGCCCTGCTGTCTGCCCCTGCAGGATTGTGATTCACCATATGGCTTCTCGTATGCAGAGAAGATGACAGCTCAGCTCTGAGGCTCCCGATGCTGCTGCGGGCAGACGGCTTTCCCACCTGTACCCACCACTCCAGCTAGCAGCCGGCACAAGACACATGGCCCCGCACACCCCTGGGTGGGAAGGAGCAGGAGACCCACGCACCTGCGCCCACTTCTTGTTGCGACTCTGCATCTGGATGGCGGCGATCGCTGCGAACACCTCCTCTGCCGGCAGGTCCTCGGGCAGCCTTGTCAGGAACTGAGCGCTGTGGATGAAGTCCATCCTGGCCAGGATGTCCTCGAACAGCTTCAGGATGCCCAGGGCTGTGCGGAAGAGGAACTCCTCCCCGTCCCGGCAGAACACATCCCACACGCGGCAGGCCAGGTCCAGGGGCAGGGACTTGCTGTACAGGGTGAAGATCCTGCGGGGAGGCGGGCGGGCAGGTTTGAGGTCCTGAGGAAGCGCTGTTCTCAGGCGACCCGGGAGGATGTGTGAGCGCAGCCCTGTGCAGACTGCAGGCTGTGCCCCAGCACTGGACACCACTGCATGCGCTCACCTCTGACAGACACCTGCCAGGCTCCTGCTGGGTAGGGCCTGGAGCTGCACCTGCCTCGCGCGGCCCGGCATCTGCCCAGGAGCCAGGGTGGCCCCTGAGTCCTAGCCTAGTAACTTCCTCTGGATAGGAGTCAGCAAGGAAGCAAAGTAAAAATGTGCCAGTTTTGGTTTGGTTTGAGACAAGATCCAGGCTGCCATGCTGCCTCAGTGGTCTGAGTACTGGGATTAAACGCACATTCCACCATGCCCAGCCTACCTAGTAGAGATGGGTATTCCCTTAAGGATTATGACATTACCAGCAGGCTATCCAGCAACCCTTTCTAACCTTCTTGGGCCCAAGGGAGACATAGGAGGCCTCACAGTTGCCCTGTCCAGGGTCCCCTCCAAAGAACAGCTGGACGCACAGTCCTCCCCGAGCTCCTGCCACGCCGGTGCTCATCACAGTGCATCGGCTGGGTTTGCCCATCACTCGCCACCCCTGCCCCTCAGGGCCTTGTCTGAGTCCAGCAGTCTTAGTGAATAAGTTCGCGCTCTGCTGTAGGAGTCACTGGTGCCGCCTCACCACCAGCACCGCCTCACTGTGAGTGGCAGCTCCCAGTAGCTTCCCGCCCCGGCCAATCCTTCTGGCAGTGGCTTCCCTACAGCCCTCAGCCTTCCTCCCTGGCTCTTCCAGAGTTGGCACTGAGCTCTGATGCACCTGACTTCAGGTGCAGGGCTCAGCTAAGGGCTGACCCGGCCAGGAGTTACTGCCCCTAACCCCTCCCTGCGTGCCTCCTGGCCTGCTCCGTGAGGCCTGCTGTGACCAGCAGGATCTTCCCTGCAGGCCTCTGCACTGGGCTCAAGCCCGCACACAAGTACAAAGCCAGGCAGGAGCACTCCACACTGTCCTCAGTGCAAACCTTCCAGGAAGGCGTACTGCACGGGTCACCCGGCCAATGGAACCGTGCGGGGACACAAACCCAGACCACCGGGTGCCTCAGGCTGTGCAAGGCACTGCAGAAGCAACCATGAGCCCAGCCTAGGACCTGGCCAATGAGCTCCCCTGTCTCATTTTACTGAGGTTCAGAGCCTGCAGACAGATGATACATCCCAAGACCCCGAGTGGCCTCTAATAGGTGAACATGATTTAAAGCCACCTGTGATGCTGTTACACCACATACTCGCAAGGCAGACCACAGCCACAGGCCCAGGACAAGCCCCTGACAAGTCCTCAGTCTGGGTTTCTTCATAGTTCAAAACCAGAAACTGTCATCATTTGGCCTAAAATATATGGTTCAAGAAAGTTCAGAGCCGGGTGCCAGTGGCTCACGCCTCTAATCCTAGCTACTCAGGATGCTGAGATCTGAGGATCTTGGTTCAAAGCCAGCCTGGGCAAGAAAGTCCGTGAGACTCTTATCTGCAATTAACCACTCAGAAAACCAGAAGTGGTGCTGTGACTCAAGTGGTAGAGTGCTAGCCTTGAGCTGAAGAGCTCAGGGACAGTGCCCAGGGCCAGAGTTGAAGACTCATGACAGATAAAAAAAAAAAAAAGAAGAAGAAGAAGAAGAAAGTAAGTTCAGAGAGATCTTGTGCTGACATCAGACTGGGCTCTCAAGCCTAGAAAGGGACCCCCCAGGATCAGATGTGCCCCAGCCTGGGCACTGGCCACCCACAGGCCAACCCTAAGCAACAGAAGTGCTTCGCAACTCTCTGACCGCATCAGGAGCATGAAGTGGACACCACGGAATAGGGCTGGTGCCGGAGAGGGGAGGGCTCTGAGGCAGAGAAGGGGTCTTCCGACCCTTCATCTGTGTGCTGCAACTGGGCTAGGCACAGCCCGCCAGGCCCTGCTGGGGAGAGAGGCTCCATTCAGCAGTAGCTGTTCTGGCCCGGGACCTCTCACATGCCATGGGAGTACAGCTCACGCACACAACACTCAAGGCAGGACCCCAGCCCACGTAGACACTGGGTGGGGAGCTGCAGGGGCCGCCTCTCTTGCAGACATGGGACACCTGCTTCCAGACACTGTTTCCCAGGCATCTACCTCTAGGCGAGGCCCGAGCAAACCTTTTCCCTCCTCCAAAGGCCTCTCAGCACCCATTAGAGCCTGGACTACTGCAAGTGTGGTGTCTCAAGCCTGTAATCCTAGTCATTGGGAGGTGGGGGGGGGGGGGGGTTGATCAGGGGATCATAGTTCAAGGCTAGCTGGCCACAAAGTATATGACTCTATCTCAACCAATGGCTAGCTACTGTGACGTGAGCCTGTCATCGGGGAAGCACAAATAGGAGCTCACAGTCTAGGCCAGCCTGTGTATCTATAGTGAGACCCTACCTTGAAAATAACCACCACAGGGCTGGGAAGGTGGCTCCGTGGTAGAGTGCTTGCCTTGCATGCCTGAGGCCCTGGGTTCGATTCCTCAGCACCACATAAACAGAAAAAGCCGGAAGTGGCGCTGTGGCTCAAATGGTAGAGCGCTCGCCTTGAGCTGAAGAGCTGAGGGACAGCGCCCAGGCCCAGAGTTCAGGTCCACGACCGGCATAAAAAAATAAAATAAAATAACCACCACAAAAAGGGGCTGGAGATGCAGGTCAAGCGGTACAGCGCCTGCCTGCAAGCATGAGGCTAACCTCCGCAGAGGGCGGCTCTGCTCCCGTCACACACGTCCCGTTCCCACAGGGCCATACACCTGCAAGTCAGGTGAAAAAGGCTCAAGATACTATTGGCCTTCAACAGAACCCTACGGCTCCAGCAGGGCAGTGCTCAGTAGGTGGCGTAGCGGCCAGAGCCCTGGGCTGGCTGCCATCCCTGACGTCCCCCGCACCTTCCTCCAGAGCTGGGTTCTAAGCCTCAGGGATCCAAGGGGTCAGGGTTCACGGCCAAGTAAGTAGTATCGAGGCAGGCTGGGCGTGGTGGCTCCTGCCTATAATCCCAGTTGGGTGAGAGGCAGAGGTAGGCGGACTGCAGTCCAAAGTCGATCAGGACAATAGTGTGAGACTCTATCTGAAAAATAAACTGAAGGGAACTGTCCTTGAATTCAAACCCTAGTACTGACAGGGCAAGCAATGTAAAATGGTTGCAAGGGGATGCCTTGCGATAAGCCCTCATCCGGGTACACTGCCCTAGAACAGCCCGGAGTCTGGCCGAGCACCCCACCTTCAGCCGGGCCTGCTGCCCAGCTGCCTCCTCTCCCACAGCCTGGAGTTGGGCTCCACCTCTACCTAGCGCTTGGCCGCAGCCTGGCAGTGGAGCCGGAAGGATCTCAGGTGAAGACGGGAGCACCTGGAATGTTCTGAACGCTCTGCAGCGCTGCACTATCAGGGGATTGGACCATTCTTGGACGATGCTTGGACTTTATCGTCAAGAGGCTTCTTGCCTCCTGAGGAGAGTGAGGTGAAAACCCAAGCCAGCCAGCGACTCTGGCCTCCCCACCGTGGCTCTGTTTGCTCTTAGTGCTGAAATCCAGAAAACTCTCTCAGGATGCGGCCGCTCTGAAAAGCCAGTCGTCAGGGTCATCACATGAGAAAGCAGCAGGGAGGACTTCCCACCCTCACCAAGATCACGAGGCAGCGTGGGAGACGCCGGGCGTGGTCGGGGCCACGGGGACCCTGAGACACGTCCACCGTGTGCCCACGGCACGCACACATCTCCAGACACACCGGGGAGTGGCAGCACCCACTTTCTCAGCAGCAACAACCGCTCCGCACAAAGACGTGCCTGGTCCACAGCACAGAATCTCCACAGCCTCTTATTCATGGGTCAGGGGGCCTCTACAGGTCCCCCAAAGCACCTCTAAACCAAAGTCCCAAAGCCCAATCTGTTGCCTGTGCTTCTGGTCCCAGCTGCGGCCCCAGCAATCCCTCGCTGGCCAACGTTTGAGTGAACCAAGATCCTCAGGCAAGTCCACACGGCGTCCCTGGACCTGCCCATGCCACCACTGCCCACTCACCACCTGCTTCTGCTTTCCCTCCTTGGTCTCTGTGCCTACTAGGCCGCTTGAAACTCACCTGGGCCCCACACAAGCCATCAACCATCCCCCACAGCCTAAGCCCTGCCAGAGCCCTCAGCAAGGCTCCTGACACCCGTGTGGCCTGCCCTCCCAGACTCCCCTCTGACAACCTCGGCCCACCTCCACCCCAGCCCAGCCACCATCACCCCTGCCAACCCTCGAGGCCTCGTGCTGCTTCTTACCCATCCACCTGCTCAAGTCCCACGTCCCCTCATGGACTCTGGTCCCCTTCCCTCCCTCTGGACTTGTGTCCATTCCCAGACAGCACCCGGGCCTACTGGACAGCACAGTGTCTGCGGCACACACCTCGTCCACACACAGCCTCGGCTGGCAGGCAGGTTCTGTGTCCTGCTCATCACCCCCTCTGAGCCCCAGGTGGGCAGGGCAGGAGCAGGAGAACAGAGAGAGCCTTGCAGGAGGCTCAGAGGGAGGGGCAGGGAGGACCAACAGAGCCGGAGGACGAGAAAACGCTCTAAACACTATGGAAACTCACGCTTACCAATCAATTAGGTAGATGTCTGGAGTCAAGTTGTTCTTCTTGAAATGCGCAAATAGTTTTGGCAAATTTTCTTCAAAGAAAACCTCAAATGCAGCAAAATAAGTCAACATCTAGGAAGATAATGTGAAATACACGAATGAGGTAATTAATCAGCCCAAGTTTCCCATCAACCGAAGTCAGGATGCTTCCTTTACACCTTTAGACTCAACCGCTGCTTCTGGTGGAGAGGCTGCGCATTGGAATGCCGATCCACTGGGGGCATGCCCACCCCGACATCTGGTTATTCCTTCAGTTTCTAGAAAGGGAAGCTGAAACTGGCTAAGCACTGGTGCAGGGCAGGGCTGGGACCTGAACTGGGGCCTGTCCCAGGGCAGGGTGGCAGGCTCACGCTCACCTAAAGCCAGCTGCCAGCCCCTAGCGCTCCCAGCAGGAAGGCAGGCTGGAGTCTGAGGGAAGCCAAGTACTCCAGGTCAATGTGCGGACCATGGTGGGGGGCTGGGGGGGGCTCCCCGCTGAAGGGGAGCACCTGCACCCAGGGGGGCCAGGGCCGTGGCACGGCTCACCCCCACCCGTGGTGCACACAGGCAGATCACTCATCTTCATGAAGGGCTGCACTATGGACGAGTGGTCTGTCCCCCCTCCCCCCGCCCAGGAGCAGGCACCAACGTGACTGCTGCAGCGGTTGGAGGAGGCTGGCTTGTGAGCACTGTACGCAGGACCATCTGGCCTCGGTCACTGTGCCACTGGAAGGAACCTGCCCCAACCAGACTCACTCGAGCTCCCAATTCTGCCTTCTCCTTAAAAAAAAATCAACTAAAGTGACTAAGGACAGTTTTTTTGTTTGGTTTGCTGATGCTAGGGCTTGACCTCAGAGCCTAGGCTCTATCCCTTAGCGTTTTCACCCAAGGCTTGTGTGACTTTTGCTGGTTTATTGGAGATAAGAGTCCTGTGCCAGGCAGGACGGAGCGTCTCCTGTGAGACCCTCCTGCCAGGCAGGACTTTAATTCCCGTCCGCGTCCCCGTCCCCTCGGCTCCACTTTAGCCTGCTTTCCTCCTCACAGGGACAGCTGACAGGGCAGTGGCCAGCTCTGCATAACGCCTTGTCTGTAACTGGAACTCTCAGATAGATTCCTACAGGCAGAGCTGTGTGCCAGTGCTGCCTACAGCTTCTCAAACATAACGTCACATCCCCGTCCCACGCAGCCCTGCTACCTCACACTCTGCTTACGGCCACAGTTAGGCTGCAGTTCCTGAGAAGGGGCACTCGCAGTCCTGAGGTCATGGAGGGGAGGAAGCACCCCCAGCTGAAGGAAGCTATTAGATCGCTTGGGTCCTAAGATTGGTAACTATCGGAAAACCAGGGCCATGTGGTTTAAAAGCTGATAGAGCCATTGAATTGGAGGCTCCAGAAAGAGCAAAGGCTGAGGAACTACAGCAGACCTGACCTCGGCTCCTCCCCACTCCTGAGGCCTCTGAGAGCAGTCACCACCCCCTCTGAGTCTCCTTGTCATCTGGACCACTCTAGAACTCAGCTACAGAGCGTGTAGGGCCTTCCCAGGGCAGAGACCATGGACAGCAGCTCACTAAGCAAGCTGCGGCCTTCAAACAAAGGCAAAGGAGCACAGTCCTCATCCTTTTTTTTGTGTCAGCCGTGGGGCTTGAACTCTGGACCTGGGCACTGTCCCTCAGGCTCTTCAGCTCAAGGCGAGCGCTCTACCACTTGAGCTACAGCGCCACTTCCGGTTTTCTGGTGGTTTAGTGGAGATAAGGGTCTCACGGTCTCTCCTGCCCGGGCTGGCTTTGAACCGCGATCCTCAGATCTCAGCCTCCAGTAGCTAGGATTACAGGCGTGAGCCACCAGCGCCCGGCTAGTCCTCATCCTTTAGCCTGCGCTTGAGCTGAGTTCTGACACCATGTGTGCTGCTGCTTTAATTGACAGAGCCTGAGTCAACTCCAGTGCTAGCGTTCCTGACGTGCAGCACCTGTGGCTGCAGAGCTGCTCTCCTCCTCCCTAGTAAAAAGAGCAGTCTACAGGAGCACTGTCTTTCTCCAGAATGCACCGACACGTTCATCCACATGGCTACTGACCATGTGCTTACATACTGAAGTTCAATACAGCATCCAAATAACCCTCTACCTTACAGAGGGCTCCAAATACGTCTTTGTGGAAGAAAACCACGCAGTCTCCCCTGAAAAGACAGAATGACCCCAGGGCGTGCACACAGAACATACTCACAAGGCTATGGTCCACTCGGAAAAACGCCATTTGACAGGGTTTATTCAAAAGATTAGAAAAAGCAATAAAGGCATCTGCAGTATCTAGGTTCAAGATCAACACTGCGGCTATAAAGGACATACCCTGAACCTGAGGGAGGAGAGAAAGGCATGTTAACCAAAGCAGACACAAGATCAGGGCGGTGCTTTCATTCATCCAACACCCGCACTGCCAGGCCTGCAGCCATCCCTCACCCCCCCCCAAGGCTCAGCTGCCAGCCGTCAATTCCAACCGCGAGCACTGCTCCACCTCTGCTCTGCTCTCCCCGGCCACACCCCTGTGGAAAACCACAGCCCAAACCGGCTAGGCCCTCTGCACTTGAGACACGTGCTGCAAACGCTGCATCTTGGTGTTTAATGCATGCACATACATCTGCTCGGCCACAGAAGGGTGGTTACTGCTAAAGGCTTTGCTGATTTAATGTTGGGGAAAATGCATGCACAATGTGATGTCACTTCCCGTGACAGCACGATGACGCAGGTCAGCCAAGCCAGCCTGTGTCTGTGAGGAAACGGAGTCTCCCCGGAGACGCTCCGTGCTCCTTAACATTGGGTGACGTCGGAGGCGAACAGGAGCTGGGCAACATTTTGACCTTCTTTGTAGATGATACCATTATGCAATATTGAAAAAATGTCACTTACATAGCCCACATCTGGTCGGTAACAAGTATAAGCGCCCAAAATACTGTGCAACATGTCATGATATGGACCACCCTAGAAGGAGCGACAGCAAACAACACATGCGTGAGGACAGTTAGTCTCCAAAGGCATCACTGCTATGGCTGCAGCCACCGCGGCCGCCACCGGCTACCACTACTGGGAGGAACCTGCCAAGCACCATGCCAGCAGCTCTGTATGTATTAGGCAGTGTAATAAATTAACTCCAGTGAGGAGGCTCCTTGGGAGAAAGCTGGCCGGTCAGCTAGGTGTGAGCCTAGGTCAGTGCTCCTGCCTGCTCAGACCCCACATTCCCCATGCTCCCCGTGGGCCTTTCCGTCTCCCTTCCCCCACCTCTGTTTCCAGGGGGCACACAGATTCTGTTTCTGTTCTTTTGTCAGTTGTGGGGCTTGGAACTCTGGGCCTGGCACTGTCCCTCAGCTCTTCAGCTCAAGGCTAGCGCTCTACCACTTGAGCCACAGTACCACTTCCAGTTTTCTGGTGGTTCATTGGAGATAAGAGTCTTATGGACTTTTCTGCTCGGGCTGGCTTTGAACCCCGATCCTCAGATCTCAGCCTCCTGAGTAGCGAGGATGACAGGTTTGAGCCACCAGTGCCCAGCTACAGCTTCTGTTTTGTTTTAGACATCCTCCCAGGTCTCCAGCCCTCCAACATTTCCATTTATTCCTATAATGCTTCCAAAAGAACAGATGTGATTTTCCCACCTAATCAAGCACAGAAGAAAACCCAGAGCCACACCACGCTGCCAGCATGCTAGAAGATGCTACCTAGGGACTAGCTGGGCCAAATCAAACACCTACTGTCCACATCGACCTCATGCTTGTTGAGCATGGATACAGGCATTCTGGGAGGGGCACTGGAAGTCATCCCACAGGTGACCTGGTGCTTATAAAGGAACACAGGGACCAGACTAGTGTATCTGAGGTACAGAAAAGCCAAGTGAGAGAAAAGATACTTTCAAATCACAGGCGGACGAGAGAGGAAAAAACAGCACTAACCTAGAGTCAGGAGTAAGGCAGTGGTAGAGCAGACCACCAACCCACAGCCTGGAGGGGCGGGTGTTAGAGCCACCAACCTAGTGCCTGGAGCGGGGCGGGAGAGCCCGGGGCCAACCTGGAGCCTGAAGCGGCTACCCCCAGGCGAATCTGCCCATGACTAAGGGGAAGGAGGGCACTGATCATTTCTTGACGCTCAATGTCTTGATGGAAGGGATTTTCCACCACTCTAACTGGTGTAAGCAGACCCAGCTCCTCACTCTAGATGCCCCCAACTTACTACAGACACCCCATTCCTTTGGAGCCCTAAGATTGAGTATGACTCACTCAATATGAGGAGTCAATATGAGACGGAAAAAGCCTCATGCAAAGGGGTTTGAAAGAGGCAATCCCGACACCTCCACCAACCCCCAAAAGGACCCCAGAGTGCCTGCCCTGCATCGGAGCCTACCCTCTGCTTCTAGAGGGGCTGCCTGGGAGCCCTCCAACCAGCAGCTGAGAGCTCAGTCACAGGACACGTTCCAGCAGCAACCTCCAGAATGGAGGTCGGGAGCTCGGCTTCTGCAGGGCCTTTGCAGGCTCTGAGGGCAGGGGGCGGTCACAAGGACCCCAGAACCATGCCTATCACACAGCAGGAGTATTTGGGTAGAGCCGCCCAGCTGTCATCTGAGTCCCTCTTGCTGTCCCCCCCATATCTGAGCGCCTTACAGGCCCTTCATCTCTGGCTAGATTCAGCTGTCTTCTGGTTTCGTGTTCACCAGGTATGTAACATTTAAGCAGCACCAGCGGAGCAGTGCTGTGTCACCTGCTGCCAGCCTCTCCTGAGGCTGCCACCCTCAATCCTAGTCACAGATAAGCAAACGAAGGCTGTAAAGCTAGCAGGGAGGAAGGCAAGCTGGGATTCAAACCCAGATCTGTCTGAGATCAAAAGGAAAACCCATTTATCAAGCCACATGTTGAGGCCCCTCCAGGACTAATGAGGAGGGACAAAAATCTCTCCATGTGGGGTGGGGGAAGCTCAGGAAGAGCAAGCCTTTCCTCCCTGAGAGTAGCTGGGAGCAACTCTGAAACTAGGGGACTCCGAAGCATGGCTTGGTCTGAGGCCTGAGGAAATGAACGGCCTGTGTGGGGAAAGATGTCAGAAGTCTCTCTGTAAGGAAGTCTGGGAAGCTGGCTCCCCAGCAGAGGCAACCACTTCTTAAAGCTAGGGCCAGACCTCCAGGTAGCTTTGTAGTCTTCTCTTCTGCAATGATTCCTGAAAAACCAAAAACCAAATGTTTGCAGCTGGGTTGGAACACAGAAGGAAGAGCGTAAGAGCACCCAGGAGGTACCCTGGGTCCTCACCTTACAGAGCGCTAGACCTGGACACAGTGAAAGCAGAATACCCCAGCTGGGGACCAGTGGCTCACGCCTATAATCCTAGCTCTACTCAAGAGGCTAAGATTTGAGGATCAAGGTTCAAAGCTAACCTAGGTAGGGAAATCCATGAGACTCTTAACCACCAGAAAACCAAAAGTGGGGCTATAGCTCTAAGTGGTAGAGCACTAGCCTTGAGCAAAAGAGCTCCAGGCCTTGAGATCAAGCCACATGACCAACAATAACAAAAAAGCTAGAAGTGGAGTTGTGGCTCAAGTGGTAGAACACCAGCCTTGAGCACAAAAACCAAGGGACAGGACCTGGAAGGAAGGAATACATAGCTTCCATGGGCAGGAGCAAATGGGAAGAGGGAGTAATGCAGAACCAAGACACCATATTACCAGGATGTGGCACCTGCTCGGCACACAGGCTGTTACATCACCTTCTAAAGGCAGCATCTGACAGCAACATCCACAGCACTCTAAGTAAAGCACCTCCTGTCCTTCCTTCCTGTGGCTCAGGCCATGATGCCAGCCCCATGTCAGCCCCCAGAGCTCTGCCTCAAGTGCTCTCAGTGCCGTTCCTGCACCCACAGCTGACTCCCACTCCCAGCAGAGCAGGCTCTCCGTGGGGGCTATGCTGACTGACCTGAGCCCTCTCTGCTCATTCTTCGCAGGGAATTCCCTGACCAGTGTTGTCCCATGCTCCTGACCTGTTCTGCTTCTCCCTGCATGTTTTGCATTCCCTGTGAGACCAACAGTAAACCTAGCCCAAGCACCTCCCAGTGGAGGATGGTGCTTCCCTGGCGCTGTCAACAACCAGATCCCTGCAAAACAAGTCTAGACTTGGGTCAGACCTGTGTGTTCATTCAGCAATCACTGAATCTACTAGCCCTCTTTAGTCCATTTCTTAGCAGTAAGCTGTCGGGGGGCAGGGCACCCTAGTCAGACTGGACATTCCAAGACTGCTCTAGGGCAAGGAAGTGAGTGGAGGCAGGCAGGAAGCAGGAGGCAGGAGGAAGGCTGCTATAGTACCCCACAATGACAAGATTCTCATGTGAGAGAAGGTAGAGAGCGCATAGAAGGGACAGAGTAGAGGCTCTGGAACACAGCTAGCAACGCACTAGTTCTGACTGGAGAGGGATCAAGGCAGACTCTTGGGTGGATGTCCACCGGCTCAAACTGAAGGTCCGCTCTGCTAGGACTCTAAAACCTCCTGCTGGCAGCCTGGGCTGTGCTCAATGGCCCACGGGAGCCATCCAAAGAGATGTCATCTCCGCCCTGAGGCCTATAGCTGGCTTCTACCCCAATGGCGTCCACGCTCTAGTCCAGCAGCTTAGAAGCCCCATTATCTTGGCTCTGCCGCTCCCCATGGAGTGTGAGCTGTAAGACCTCCTTTCCCCTGGTTTGCTGCCCTGGCCCCTGTGAGACCACATCTGATGGCTTTCTGAGCACACGGACCCTTCTGCACCACGGCACAGGACAGAACCAGCCATTCAAGCAGAGGTACTGCCACCACACCGCTCACAAAGGACCCCGCTACACTGACTTCACGTCCAAAAGAACAGCAGTACTATCCACCCTACTCTCCCCAAACTACCCTGCAAACCTGATTACAAATCCATGCAGCTCCAATGAGGAATTGTAGACAAATACACTTGCAACATACCACTGCCACTTACTTGCTGGAAGATGCAGAGATTAGGGAATGTTCTAGAAATGTCCAGTTTAATAAGCTCCAGACTGGCCTCTCTGTCTGCTGCAGAAAACCCGGCATCTGTGAAAAGATGGAGAGTAGCGACACTGCTTGGAGCACACATGGGACTAGGCCTATAGCGGTCCAAAAGTTTTGCTTCGGTTAGGAGGAAAAGTACAAGAGCACTACCGCGCAACACGGTGGTTAATTATGCATATTATATTCCCCAAAATGCTAGGCAAATGGATGCACTCTCAACATAAAATTTTAACCATGCAAGGTAATATATATGTTAACTAGCTAGATTTCCTCATCCCACATGTAAATATGCTTCCAAACATGATGAATGCAAGAGACACTTATATTGTCACCAACAAATAAAACGGAATAAAAATGAAAGCAGAGAGCTGAGTGCTGTAATCCTAACTACTTAGGAGGCTGAAGATCTGAGGATTGTGGTTTGAAGCCAGCCTGGACAGGAAAGTCCATGAGACTCTTACCTCCAATTAACCACCAGAAAACAGAAGTGGAGCTGTGGCTCAAAGTGGCAAAGTGTTAGCCTGGTGTAATATTTCTTTTTTTTTTTTGGGTCAGTCGTGGGGCTTGAACTCTGGGCCTGGGCGCTGTCCCTCAGCTCTTCAGCTCAAGGCGAGCGCTCGAGCTACAGCGCCACTTCCGGTTTTCTGGTGGTTTATTGGAGATAGGAGTCTCACGGTCTCTCCTGCCCGGGCTGGCTTTGAACCGCGATCCTCAGATCTCAGCCTCCTGAGTAGCTAGGATTACAGGCGTGAGCCACCAGCGCCCGGCTGGTGTAGTATTTCTAACATTCATGACTAGCCGTTGTTTTACATTTCTTTGACTTTCAACAGCACATAGGGCAGTATTTTAAAAACCCTCAGAAAGCCGATTTCTTGACCAGAAGACATGGTCATTCTTGTGCCTGGTGTGGGGCCTCTCTGCCTCTCAGGAGCAGACTCAATGATCCAGGCACCAGGCTACCCTATTGAGAATGGCCTGCCCAGAAATGGTAGTGGCTATGAGCTGACCTCCTGTGTGTTAGAGCACAAACCTCGGACAGGGGTGGGTTCTGTTGTTCAATTCCCTTTCAAAACAAACCTTCCCATGAGACACCATAGGAGTCCACCCTACAGTTATGCAAGCTTTGCTTGGGGGGGCTAAGTGGGAGGGGTTAACTGCCTACGTCTGCAGCACCGAGTCTCCCTGTGGTCTGTACCTTCACTCTCCACTTCTGAACCTCCTGTGCTGAGGGACCGCCACCGCTCCTTGGCCCGGGCCAGACAGATGTCAAAGAGTTCTGGAAGAAAAACCAGAGAGTGAATCTCATATTAGCATCTGTCCCCAGAACCCCAAAGAATACATAACTATTTCCTTCAAACGTAGGAGACTTGAACAACTCCTCCTGACTCAGCCTGCAAGTCCTTTTTATTACTGAGAGGCACAGGCACACACAGAGAAAGAATACACATGCAGCCTGGCACGGTCTTCTTGACATAGCCCATCCACAGTACGGTGCTCGGATTCACTGGGCTGGGTAATGCCTCTCCCAGGATATGAGGGCTCTTTCTCACCTGTGTCTACAGCCAATACCCCAGACAGAGTCAGAGCAAATGAGGTGTATCTGGCTGACAGGCGGGGCAGGCAGAGGAAGCAGCAGCAGCGTCTGGTTTCCAAGTCCTAATTCTAATTCAATCCTGAATGCTGCAATCCCCAAAGACAACAGCCTCTAAAATCCTAAAACATGTAATTCTCTAAGAAAAACATTTAAAAACTTCTTTGAAGACATGTATATTTTTAAGAGAATTTAGTTTAGAAAAGCATAAAAACAACAAAATACTTTAAGGCCACTATATAATGAAGTAGGCAGAAATGTTTTTGTAAGCATACTCAGGAGTCCTAAGGGCAGCCACATGAGTATGACACATAGAAGCAGATGAACAATGTTCATACAGAAACCCACTGAGAAGTGAAATGCATAACACACTGAGCTCTGTAATTCAAACACAGAGGCAGACTGCCTGAGCCTTTTGACAAAGATTAAAAATCAAGGTGGGCCCAGAGCTGGTGGGACATGTCTACAATCCTAGCTTCTCAGGAGGGTGAGATCTGAGGATGCAGCTTCAAAGCCAGCCTAAGCAGGAATATCCATGAGACATTCAGCTCCAATTTACCACCAAAAAGCCAAAAGTGGAGCTGTGGCTCTAGTAACAGACTGCTAGCCGTAAGCAAAAAAGCTAAAGAACAGCACCTAGGCCCTGAGTTCAAGCCCCAGTACTGGCACTAAAAGGACATGCCATGCTACCTTCTTGGCAGACTTCCTACTCTTGCTACTGAAGTGAGGCAGGGTAAGGAATGCCCAAGACATAGAGCTGGCAGAGAGAAGCATCGGGTCAGTCTGGGAATCTCTGCCATCTGTAGAATCCGCTTTCCAGCTGCTCTTCTAAACGGTGGCTTGTGAACAGTTCAGTGACCCATGCTTACAAGTCTCATGGCCTCCCGTATATCCACGTCCTGTGCTGCTTTTTTTTTTTTCCGGTCAGTCATGGGGCTTGAACTCTGGGCCTGCTCAAGACGAGCACTCTATCACTTGAGCCATAGTGCAACTTCCAGTTTTCTGAGTGGTTTATTAGAGATAAGAGTCTCACAGACTTTCTTACCCCAGCTGGCTTTGAACCATGATTCTCAGATCTCAGTCTCCTGAGTACGTAGGTTTACAGGCATGAGCCACCAGCACGGGCTCCTGTGCTGCTTTTTACTAGACCCATCTCCCAGGCCACTGGGGGCTTCCAGTGCCCCTGATCTTGATGCTGCCCAGCTCCTAGATGTCCTGGCTACTAGAGACCATGAGCTAATCACTGAGATATGAAGTGAAGCTACCCAAAAATGCTCACTTTATTTTTTTCCTTTAACTTTCGAAAAATGAAGCAGAGTACATCTGCCTTCAGGGCCAACCCCGCTATTTTATTACAGTGTAATGATAATTCCAGTACACTATTAAAAGCCACTAGGTAAAAATCTTGATGAATGGCCCCATCTACCTTGCAAAATCTGAGCCAGCCTGCGGTGGCAGGAGGGCATGGTTACGGAATGTAACTTCCTGTCATCATAACACAGAAGCCAAGGGTTCATGGAACAATTGTGGCATCCTGAGCTGGTGGGGGCAGCAGGGAGGACCTCCGTGTGCCCCAACTTCCAGGAGGTAACCTGTGCTGCTATTTGGTAGGTGGATATAAAGGGCTATGTGGCCTGTGACCACCAGGGATCTTTGTTCCAAGTGAAGAACTTGACCCTGGGAGGCACAGAGGCTGGTGGTCTCAGGGCAAAGCCAGCCCAAGTGTCAGGGCTAACCCCTCACATAGGAGGTGCCTGCTTCACTGGCAAGGCCACTGGCACGCACCACACCAAGGGTTATTATACCTTCTTCCCACACCCCTAACTCCAATTCAAAGTACCAGCCTGACTTGCGCAGAATTTTTTTGTTGCTGTTGTTGTTTTGTGGATTATGGGGCTTGAACTCTGGTCCTGGGCGCTGTCCCTCAGCTCAAGGCTAGCGTCCACCACCTGAGCCACAGTGCCACTTCCAGTTTTCTGGTGGCTTATTGGAGTTTCACAGCTTTTCCTGCCTGGGCTGGCTTTGAACCGCAATCCTCAGATCTCAGCCTCCTGAGTAGCTAGGATTACAGGCGTGAGCCACCGGCGCCCAAATGGGAGTAAAGTTTTAAAAGTCCTACTAGTTTCAGTTTCACCAAGTTTCCAATTACACAACCACAAACAAGGCAAACTGCGATGCTCTCAAATCAGAATTCATACTTCAGAATCCTCCAGGTCTGGAATGGGAACCCTGGCTCCTCCCATACTGGGATATAGTACCTAACTCTTCCAGGATGGTAAAGTGTCTCAACAGGAAAACTAGGTCATCAAGACCTGCCCAGAAGGGTCACACTCCGTGCCACGTAAGAGATAAAAGGAAGAAATGGGAGATGAGACGCAGCACTCAGCAATCAGACCCCCAGATCACTGTCTGAAGCTAGTGCAGAGAGGCGGTGAGGCTGGGGTCAGGGAGGCCCCACAAGGTGCCCAGTGTCTGCCATGTGCAGGGAACTGGGGTGGGCACTGGTGTCAGAGCCAATCGTCAGACAGTGGAGACGGCTAATCACTCAGATATAGCTTAGAGGAAGGTTCAGACGAATCAGCTGCCCAGCCAGACCCACTAGATAACAGTGCAGCAAAGGCTTTCATTTAAATAAAATCAACCCAGACATCAGTGAGAACCAAAAATTAAGCACAGATGCAGCAGTTCTGCACCTAACAGCCAATTTGCACAGGCAGGGTTCTTGATCAGAGCCTAGAAATTCTTTAAGAACACAGACCAAAATGAGTACTTAGCCACTTCTGCAGTGGTCACCTGAGGGTGATTTTTAAATCATACTTTCACACCATCCGTGTCATACTTTGTCATGTGTAAAGGCCCTAAAGATAAGTTCTGGCAGGTACGGATTTGGCCAGAAAAGGCACTTTGAGGCTGCAGACTGCCCAGACCTCCCTTATCAGATGGCCAATCACCACCTACCCCTCAGCTATGCTACTCAACAAGTCAGGGATAACCAAACCATTGAGATGCAAACAGCAACCTGACCAAAGCCAGAAGGTACAAGCTGTTCTGCCCCAAACTGGAAGGCTTTCACTGGCACAGGAGGGAGAGCAAGAAGGTGGGCCAGCCGGCCCTCGGCTCAGCTTCAGCTGGAAGGAACAGGAGAAAGCAGCTGCTCCCGTGCCTGAGCTCCAAGCTCAGTCTGTGAGCTCCCATGGCCTTGGGACACCCAGATCCCTGCCCAGCAGTCGGGCCCACCTGAGATTCACACATCTGAGCTTCAGAAGTGAATCGGGGCATGCACACTGGGCACAGAGCACACAGTGACTGACAGCATGAGAACCCCAAGCGTGACACTCCAGTCCAGTACCACAAGGACATCAGCCCTAGAGTGATATGCCGTCCACCCCGCCCCAGTATGAACAGCAGTCCAGCCACATGCCCCGCCAAGGCTCACCTTCTACAGGACTCTGATGAGGGTTCACGTTGGAGCCCCCAGCCCCCCCATCCTGCTTTGTTCAGAACATCTGCCCTGGCCTCTCAGCCAAGTGAGACATCACAGTGCACCCACCTCCCAACTGCCCTTCTTAAAGATGCAGCTTCCTGGCAATGCTGTCTTTAAGGGACCAACAAGGACACAGAGGTTTCCCCTGGGCCTCAAACCTCGCAGGCCACTCACCGTGGGTGATGTTCAACTCATTGCCAATGGCCAAGCTCCAGACTTTGCCTCTCACACTTGGCGGGATTCCCTGCCACCACAGATCTCGAACTTTCCTAGAGCACCACCTGGAGAGAATAGGAACATGGTTTCTGAGTTTGTTCTCTGTGAAGAAAGGCTTGTCATGCCTCATGCCATTAGGGCTGAAAACACACCAGCCTGGCCCTCAGGGAGCTCGCCATCTGGGTTGTCCTGCAAACCAGCAGGCTAGCCACCTTACAGAACCAAGTACAGAGTAGCAGAGCTCACACACATGAAGGACAGGGTCACACCTGTAACCCTAGGGATCTGAGGATCATGATTAGAAGCTAGCCCAAGCAGGAAAGTTCATGAGACCCTCCAAAAATTCAGAAGTAGAGCTATGGCTCAAGTGGTAGAATACTAGCTTTGAGCAAAGAAGTTCAGGGATAGCACCCAGGCCCTTAGTTCAAGTCCCAGGACCAGTGGGCATGCGTATGTGCTGTATGCGCGCGCACGCGCATCAACCTGTAGGACTGCAAACAGCTGGAGGTGGGCAAGGAGGGTCAGATGGCTCTGCTAGAAGTGGAAGGGAGGCCCCCAGGGGTTTTTCAGGGCAGCCTTCAGGGACAGGAAGGGACAGCCACACACTAGATAGTTCATCTCACCCTGAAGGTAGGGCAAGCTTACTAACTGGGTACATTCTAATGGCGCCATCGTCCTTCACACTGATCACAATGAACACACCCTGCCAAAAGACTGGCTGAGGGCACAGGCGCCAGCCCCACAAGTCCTCCTGAGCCCAGCTCGGCTGTGAGCAGCAGCCCGGAGGCTGTCAGAGTGCATCCTGACGCCACCAGACCTGTGGGTGTGCAGCCGCTTGCTTCTCCTCTCCCTCTCAACTCCAGAAGCTAAGCCGCCCCTCCCTCAAGGCTGCAACACGTAGTACATGGGTAGAGCACAAAGCACCCTGCATTGTGCCTGGCACTGGATGGCAGCTATTGCATGTGCCTCCAGACCTCACCCTCCTGGGCAGGGTAGGAAAGAAGGGGCCACACACATCCTGCAAGGCCTGAGAACCTCTGCTTTGATTACATGGCCTTGTTTCAGAAAAAGCATTCAAGGTTTGCTGGCAGTATCCAGCCTCTGAGGGACACTATCTAGAAAAGCAAGCTCTAAGCACAGTGTGTTTCCCCAGCAGAGACCTCAATAGGGCTGTCTGGTCCCTTTGTGACACCCCGTGAGTGTAAGGAATCCCCAGCACTGGGCCAAGAGGGACAAGAGTGAGGGACCCCTGCTCCCCATGGCCTCTCCATGGACCTGGCACTGCTACCTCCACACTGGCCTCTCCATGCTGACCAACAGGAGGAAAATGTAAGGTCCAGCTGGCCCTCAGAAGTGAGGATGCCACAGCTGTAGCAGACCCCACCGTGTGTGCCCCGCACTGCCGGGGGGGGGGGGGGGGGGGCACATCAAAGACAGCCCAGAGTCCACCCTCAGAGAGAAGCAGCTGGAGCACACAGCCTCCACACCCCAGGGTGGTCTTCCACAGCTTAGACCAGGGTGGGGACAGGAAAGCCCTTCCTGGGGAGACTGAGCCCTCCAGAACAAAGAGGAGTGGGCAGGGTGAAGTGGTCCAGGACCAGATCAATTGTAGGCACAGGAAGCAGGACATGCAAATGTCCTGAAACTGAAAAGCAGCAACTCTGGCTGGGGGTCCCCCTGGGGCTGCAATCAATGGAGTAGAAAAGGAAGGAGGCGGGACTGCCATCTCACTAAGCTAAGCTAGAGTTTTTATACCGAGAACCACACCAAGCCACTGAAATGGGAAGTAGGGGGTACACAGGTGTGGGTTACAAAGTCAGTACAGGCTACTGAGCAGATGAATGGAAGGAGCCGTCACAGAGGCAGGAACCATGTGGCTGGGCCAAAGCAACTGAGGCCAGTGGCCCACAGCTCAGCGGCGCTGCGCAGCCGCAGCTTACATGGTGTCCCAGTTGGGCAGGATCTCATTATTCCACGTAAGCACAGCGTTCCCGATGCTCTCTTCCACTCGGCATCGTTCCTCCAGCTGCTTTTTCCTCCGCTGGGCTTCTTTAAGCTCTAGAAACCACAGCAAAAAAAAAAAAAAAAAAAAAGAGAAAACATCCATTAACCAGTACCCACCACATTCAAGCCAAAAGATTTCTCTCAAGGGCTGGGACGGTGGCTCAGTGGTAGAGCGCTTGCCTTGCATACCTGAGGCCCTGGGTTCGATTCCTCAGCACCACATTTGCAAAAAGAAAAAAGCCGGAAGTGGCGCTGTGGCTCAAGTGGTAGAGCGCTAGTCTTGAGCTGAAGAGCTGAGGGACAGCACCCAGGCCCAGAGTTCAGGCCCCACAACCAGACCCCCCCCCCAAAAAAAAAAAAAAAAGATTTCTCTCAAAAGAGTCAGGCTGCAAACACCAGGAAACCATGCAGAAGCAGAGCAAATGTTAGCTCCCAGGCTCACTGCACAGCCATGGAAATACCTTCTTTATTCACTTATTTACTTACTTAGTTTGAGACAGGATCTCACTATACAGTCCAGGGCTCACACTTGAGCTCTGTAGCCTCAGGCTCCTGAGAGCTGGACTGATAGGCATGCATCACCACGCCTGGTCCCTCAGGGATTTTTGAATACCAGCTCCATCCATCTGTTAGTGTTTTAATTATATAGTTTATTTTGATTTCATTTTTTGAGTGCTGACCCTGGGACTTGAACTAAGGATCTGGGCATGATTCCTGAGCTTTTGTGCTCAAAGCTAATGCTCTACCGCTTACTTGAGCCATAGCTCTACTTCTGGCTTTTTGGTAATTAACTGGAAACGAAAAGTTCATGGACTTTCCTTCTGGACTGGCTTTGAACCACAATCCTCCTCAGATCTTAGTTTCCTGAACAGCTAAGATTGCAGCCATAAGCCACCAGTACCCAGCTAGTGTTTTAATCATAACATAGGCACAGAGAAGTATATAAATACTAACATGATCCAGTTTATACAAAATAGTGAAGCCCATGAAGCTGTCCCAACCTAAGCAAGGCAGATCTCCAGAAACCCTTCTAGAGGTGTCATCTGGCTCTACTCTTCCCAAGGTGACCTCTAGGCTAAGCTCATTCCTAACAGTTCCTAATGGCTTGTGCATCTCTCCTATATAGCAGGAGTACTCAATTTACACACACTAGAGCAAACGCTGCATTCCACATCCCAATTCAACCAACCGCACATAGGAAATATGGGGCAGTGGGGCTGGGGGGGGAGGGGAGACACAGACACAAATCACATTTTCTTTTTCTTTTTTTGGGTCCGGTCATGGGGCCTGAACTTTGGGCCTGGGTGCTGTCCCTCAGCTCTTCAGCTCAAGCCTAGCACTCTACCACTTGAGCCACAGCGCCACTTCCGGCTTTTTCTTTTTGCAAATGTGGTGCTGAGAAATCGAACCCAGGGCCTCAGGCATGCAAGGCAAGCGCTCTACCACTGAGCCACCTTCCCAGCCCACACATCACATTTTCTTGTCATTAGTTCCTAAATAATACACAGAACAACCACACCGAGCACTGAGCCTATGAGAGGCATTCGGTGATCAGAGACAACTCCAAGTCCATGGAGGATGTGTGGCTCCGACACAAATGTATCTTACACAGGAGACTTGGGCACCAGAGTCCAGGACCCACAGGGGCAATGAATTTCAGCCCATAGACACAAGAGGGACAACTGTATTTCTCTTGTTGTCTTTTTGGTGGTGGTACTAAGGCTGGAACTCAGGACCTCATGTTCTCGCTTGGCTTTTTTGGTCAAGGGGGACAGTCTACCAGTTGAGCCACAGCTTGCGCTTCCAGCTTTTTGCTAGTTAACTGGAGATGTGTCTCATAGACTTTCCTGTTTAGGCTGGCTTTGAACCGTGATTCTCTGATCTCAACCTCTTGAGTGGCTAAGATTAGATATGAACCACCAATGTCCTGCTACATTTTCTTTTTGAGGCAAAATATACACTACATAGAATTAAACTACTTCAGCTAGGCAGAGTTCATTAAGCACAGTAACATTGCCAAGCCACCATCACTACCATCCAGCTCCAGAACCTTCTCATCTTCCACATAACTGAAACCCTGCCCCTCCCCCAGTGCCTGGCAACTCATGATCTATTTTTAAAAAATCTCTGTGAATGTGACAGCTCCAGGGGCTCATTATCAGTCGGATAAGACAGTATTTGTCCTTTTATAACTGGCTTATTTCACTTATGATGATCTGCTCAAAGGCTCACTCCTGGGTAAGTAGTAGGTGTCAAATTTCTTTCCTTAACCTATTATATTTTAAATATCTATAGAGGATTTTAGGTATTATGAGGGCCGAATTCTTTCCTTATAGAGCCCCTATTCTTGTGTGAGCTTTTAGTGTTTCTACCTTGCTACCAGAAACAGGTAGGAGAACATTCTTTTTTTTTTGAATGGGAAAACCATACATTTTAAAGCATTAAACCAAACACTGGGCAAAGTCGAAGCTCTGTAGCTCCAAAAGCAAAAGACAACAGCTCGAGGCAGAGAGGGATGCCTGCAGTACCTCGTTTTTTGGCCTGCACCACCATTTCTTCATACTGCTGCCTGTGCTTCTGCGCTTCTTCAGCTGGTTTTGCTGGGAGATTGCTTAACAGGAAAGAAAGGGTTTTCCACATTAGAAATATATAGATATAGATACAGATATAGACATAGATATATGCATATATATATATAAAAGAGCCTGAGAAAAAACTATCTGAAGCATTATTTATAAAAGGGTGCAAAAGCTAAAGATCACAACCTCAAATTATATTTTAAATATACAGTTCTTTTATAAACTGAGAAGTACCGTTTTACAAAAGAAAAATGCTCACTATAAGAACAACTAAATTAACAGGCACTGGTGGTGGCTCATGTCCATAATACCAGTTATTCAAGAGGCTGAGATATGAGAATCACAGTCTGAAGCCAATGTGGGCATGAAAGTCTATGAGACTCCTATTTCCACTAAACTACCCAAAATGCCAGAAGTTGAGCTCTGGCTCAAGTGGTAGAGCACTAGCCTTGAGAAAAAAAAAAAAGCTAGAGGACAGAGTCCAGGCCTTGAGGTCAAGCCTCAGGATTAGCACACAAAATACATACAACTAAACTATAAAGATTAAGAAAAAAATAACAAAGCCAGTACCCGTGGCTCACATCTGTAATCCTAGCTACTCAGGAGGCTGAGATTTGAGGATCATGGTTCAAAGCCAGCCTGGGCAAGAAAGTCTGTGAGACTCTTATCTCCAATAAACCATTCAGAAAACCAGAAGTGGCGCTGTGGCTCAAGTGGTAGAGCACTAGCCTTGAGCTGAAGAGCTGAGGGATAGCGCCCAGGCCCAGAGTTCAGGCCCCATGACTGACAAAAAAAGAAAAAAACAAAAAAACAATTACCTATAATATAATAAGCAATTATTTGGTATTTCTCACTCTATTGTCTTAAAAAAAAAAAATTTGTGTCTGCACCTCAGAGCATGACTGGGCTCTCTGGTTGGGCTCAGCTTTGGTTTGGAGTTGGGTTTCTTTGTTTTGGTCCTAGTAGGGTTTGAACCCAGGGCCCAGAGCTTGCTCAGTAGGTACCTTATCACCAGAGCCACAACCAGAGCTGTATTAATCTGGCCAGTTGTTTTGTTTTGTTTTTGTCGGTCGTGGGATCTAAACTCTGGGCCTGGGCACTGTCCCTCAGCTCTTCAGCTCAAGGCAAGCACTCTACCACTAGAACCACAGCACCACTTCCAGCTTTTTCAGTTTATGTGGTGCTGAGGAATGGAACCCAGGACCTTATGCATGCGAGGCAAGCACTCTACCACTGAGCCACCTTCCCAGCTCCTCTGGCTAGTTTTTTTTTAAAAGACTGAGCTTAAAGCTGGGTGCGAACAGTTCAGGCCTGTTATCCTAGCTACTCAGGAGGCTCAGATCTGAGGATGACGGTTCAAAGCAAGCCTGGGCAGGAAAAGTCCAAGAGACTCTTATCTCTAATTAATCCACAGAAAACCAAGAGTGAAGCTGTGGTTCAAAGTGATAGAGTGCTAGCCTTGAGTAAAAGAGCTCAGGGACAGTGCCCAGGCCATGAATCCAGGCCCCAAAACCAACAAAAAATAAATACATACAGGAGTTTAGCTCTGTAGTTCATTTGCTTTACTATTTATATACATTGTTTTAATCATTCTGGGCATCCCATTAATAGCTACAAAAGGCACACCCCCTCTTAAGTGGCTGTGGACTTTAGGGAAGGGCAGTGGTGCCTGGCCTGCATCTGCCCACATCCACATACCACAGCCAGGACCCACGTTCCCTGGGAGACTATGAGCCCTGGTGCCTGAGAAGCAGGCCCGCCACCAGCACTGAAAGGCTGAGGAGACGCCAGCCAGCCGCCATCTCACACTGATGGCCCTGTTTCCATGACACAATACCATCCTGACTTGCAGTCCTCTGCACCAGGATCTCCCCACATCCATTTCCATGACCCAAGAACTAACAGTAGGAGACACACTTACTCTTTAGACTTCACCTGTTTTAAATGTTAGAGGTGGACAGGGGCCTTAGAGATTAACTAGCTTGATGTTTTTCCAGCCTTCTTGCTCTCTCCTTCTTGATCAAAGAACCTCCTATTCCAACACAATGTTCTAAGGAAACTGAGTAAATAGAAAGAGATTGTCTATGACCTGGTGAAGTGGAGCAAATGATGTCCATATCACACAGTGGACACATGGGTCCACAGGGCCCAGCCTGTCATTAGCCACAGCCTGCTCACTGTGACCACAAGAACCCCACAGGCCAGTGCAGGAAGTGCCCTACAATACCAAGGCATTCCCAAAACACCTCTTCAAGCTGGGTGCCTGTAATCTCAGGAGGCTGAGGTCTGAGGATCACAGTTCAAAGCCAGCCAGGGCAGGAAAAGACCGTAAGATTCTTATTTCCACAAGAAAACTGGAAGTAGCGCTGTGGCTCAAGTGTTAAGAGTGCTTGCCTTGAGCTGAAGAGCTGAGGGGCAACACCCAGGCCGAGTTCAAGCCCCACAACCAACCAAAAAAAAAACCCCACTTCTTCAGCATCTGCTGCCCAGGGACTCCAGAGATCACAACCAGTCTCGCATGTATAGTAGCTACTTAAGTATTTCTAAATGACAAACTAAAAGAGAAACTTCCTGAGTGGAAATGCCTGGACAAACTTGAGTGCTGGGGGCAGTTATGCCGATGGGCCACACAGTATCATTAGAGAACACACACTGATGTGGGCAGTGGCGGCGGGGGTGGGGGAGGGCAGGGGGACAGCAATATGGCCACTCTCCTTCCCTCTCCGGACCCCGCTCTTCTCCAGTGAAAAGGACTGGCGAGCTGCCTTGTCTCCTGAGGCAGACGGCACACAGATTTCCTGAGACTCACGCGGGTCTGTCCTCGAGGATGAGTGCGGTGGTGGAAAGCGGCTCAAAGTCCAAGTTCTTCCTCACATTTTGCTTCGGGGAGGGTGGCCTGCTTGGGCTTCCAGCCTTGTCTTCATGTTCCTAGGACAAAGAAACCACCGTGACTCTGGGCCCAGCCAGTTCTTTTTTACATGAGGTTCTTCTAAAAGCAAGAATGATGCTTTGTAAGTTAACTCTGAGGATAACACACTGGAAATCTTTCCTGCTAGTCAGAGGGAGAAACTGCTGCCCACAGGGACCTAACGGCTCTCGGTGGGACCCAGGACTTTGCCCTCTGAGTCTTACATGTTCCCAAGTTGGGGAAGCTACAAGGTCTCTCCATCACACAGCCCTGTACAAGGACCCACCAACTCTGATGTGGGATCTCAAGGCCTCTGTGTGAGAGGTGCTGCTTTCTGTCTTCAGGACACTAACTTTTTAGTGATGGTTATAAAGGCCACCGGAACTCCCTCACTCCAAATCACCATGCTACTGCTGCTCGTCAATGTGTCAGTTTCTGAGTACAGTGCATCTTGATCAACGCCACCACTTCCATCCTTCTCCCCCATCCCTCCCAACCCCAGCCGCTCAAGCTACCTGATTCAATTGTAGCCATATTCACCCACACTTCCTCTCTCCATTCACCTGCTCCCCTCTTCTTTCCTCCCCCGGCCCCCCAAATCATGATGTCGTTTCCTGGCATTCATTCTGTTAAACTATTAGTTGTTTGAAGGACTTACAGCACCACAATCTTGCCCCGTATGTACCGTAGTTTTAGTCAAGGTGTTTATGTGTATGCATATAGCCCTGTATATGTTTTCATATGTATATGAGCTCTACTTGCCACTGTGTAAATCATTTTGCCATGCTCTGGAAATCTAAAGGCCTCCATTCCTACTGAGTCACTAATTTGATCCGTGGACTACAACCACAAAAGCTTAGTCACATCTGGTGACCCACATTCCAAACACCCAGACAGAAGGGTGAAGGTGTGTGTGCCCGTGCTTGCACACCCTTTGCTCCCTGAAATATCAAACACCATGTGTGCTTGCGCACAAGGCTCTCAGAACCACCCCTTCAGGGGAACATAATCTAGTTGGGAAAACAGGGCAAACAAACTCGGAGTAAACCGTAGCTCTCAACTCCCCTCCAGGAGACAGCAGAAACGATTGTCAAGCAGAAATGATTGTGAGCTGGATTTTGTTGACATTTGTTGTCATGAGTGATGCTCCTGGTAAAATTATTTCACAAGTAATTTTTCTCTCAGCTAGACGGGCCTACTGAAGCTTCTAAAAAGTAGAAAGGAAAAAAAAAATAGATTTCCTGTAAACGCCAGGCTGTGAGAAGCACGTGGGTGGGACAGTTTCTGTTACCTGGACGCACGAGGCTAGAGGTAACACCCTCGACGCCCGGTTCACAGCGCTTCCTCGGAGGCACTAAAACCACCTCCACTTACCGGAGACGTGGAGAATATGCATTAGCTCATGGACCCAAACGTCTGAGAGGATCTACCTTGTGCCAGCCACAAGTACCCAAAAGTCAAAATTTTCAACATTACAGGAAACCTATCAAATACGTGTGAGGAGAAAGAGTCAGACAAGGCCTGAGACAAATATCTCATTAAGTGCTATTTATCTGATGGGCCTGGCCTACTGAATGGTGTGCCAAGGCCAAAGACCTTGTGTTAAAAGTCAGACGTCCTAGTATTTGGAAGCTCTTTCCCTTTGCTTCTACTCCATGCGGGCCTGGCCTTTCTCCCAGACCTGAAATGACTGCATAAGACAGAAAAAGACCACTGGTGCCAAATACTAATCAAGGAGCCCTGCAAAGTCTGCGAGCAGCAGATAAGAAAGGTAGGGACAAAGGAAGTGGGTGCCTTGACCACGGCCAGAACACCACACCTCAACAGTCAGGGCTTCTTGTTCATCATCAGCAATGGCAAGGCCTCACACACAGCACTGGGGGGAATCTGAGGGACCGGTCAGCACCACCCCACCACCCAGAATGGATTACGTAGATCCAGAGAGGTCAGTGACTCACTCTGCAGGTGGGCAGAGAAGCTGGGTCAGATGCCAATCTCTGGGTTCTCTGGCCACACGCCACCAACATGGACAGGAAATAATCTCATCATGCACAGCTTCAGGAAAGCTTTCAACTCTCACTGAAGCTTGTAATGCTGAGGTAAGTGCACCGAGTATGTGGGGGCCAAATAGCGTGTTTGGCTCACAGTGACTCAGGATTACAAGGCCAGAGAGGCGCGGCTGGTCCCAACCTGAAGTCCCAGGTGGCATTTCAAATCCCAGGTGGTGTTCCCAAATACAAATGGGATGCCTTTGAGAATAGTCACAGTCCTGGCCCAAACCTACTTCTCCTCCCATGGCCTTCTAGGTTTCCAGTCAGCTCATTGTCCAACCAGACACACCAAATCTAGGCTCAAGAAAAGGAAGTTGTGGCTGGGAAGGTGGCTCAGTGGTAGAGCGCTTGCCTTGCATGCATGAGGCTCTGGGTTCGATTCCTCAGCACCACATAAGCAAAAAGAAAAAAGCCAGAAGTGGTACTGTGGCTCAAGTGGTAGAGCGCTAGCCTTGAGCTGAAGAGCTGAGGGACAGTGCCCAGGCCCAGAGTTCAGGCCCCAGGACCAGAACCCCCCCCCCCCAAAAAAAAAAGAAAGAAAAGGAAGTTGCTCTAAGGGTCCTGGGAAGATAAATGCCCTAGGGAAGCAGCAGTCACCTGTGAACTTTCAGCGTAGGCGCTGCCACGACACAGCAGGGTGCTAAGGCTTTCACCTTCAGCAACCATGCCTCCACCTTCTTGCTATAACTGGCAGTGACTGTGACCACCACAGCGGTGGCTAACTAGAAAAACACACACTAGACAGCTGGATACCTCCTGAAGACCTCAGGCCTCTCTGGAAACCAGGGGAGAATTGGTGGACTCTCCATCTCAGTCTAGCTTAGCACTGCAAGTTTCCTCTGCATCCAGTCAGGTCAAGGGGCCTGACCTGAGTAACGCTGGTCTTCACTGCTAGACTAACTGCAGCCCACAGGCCCATCAGTAACATAAATCAAGCCATCCACCCTGGGCACCCTCACAGAGGAGATTTCAGGATTCTTCAGAGTCCTGGTGTGACTCAGCTTCATGGACATGAAAGGACTTCTACAAATGAGCTAATAAGTGGAGTGCACACTGCAAGAGCCGTATGTTTCAGCTGTGTACCAGGCAAGATCTGCACACTAACCTCAATTGCTGAGCTTTGTAACCTTCTCAAACTGTCTAACTTAGATTCAGAAGTAGCGTGAATTGATGGCACCACTGCTAACGCAAGACCACACCTGGCCAATGCAGCAGCGATGGAGAAGTTATGGTGTGTGGTGAATGAGCAGGTTCCGGGGAAGAGCAGCAGGAAGCAAGGTACTTGAGCAGGGCCTCAGCTCCAGACTGGGGCCATAAGCAAAGCAGATGCGGCAGGAGGAAGAGGAAGGGGACCACGCAGAAAGGAGGAAGCTCACATGTCAATAAGCCACATAAGGCCCAGCTCTTTTGTGAGACCCTCAGTCCCCAGCCTCGTAGAGCATCCAGGAAAGACCCGAGAAATGAAGGAAGGACAAGCAACAGGCAGTAGGAGACTGCAGGGGACCAGGGAAGCATCCCAGGAAGGTTTCCATCTGAGCAAATGAAGCTATAGGTGGGAGTCTGGATACAGGCCTCTGACAGCATGGGCGGTGGCCTGGGGGTGGGCGGAGGTAAGAGGGAGACCTAGGCTCCCTCTAAGGAGCTCGCCTGTGGATGAGCAAGGAGGGCGCTGAGCCAGTTCTCCTACACAGGATGGTCTCACCCAGCTGTGGGGAGAGCAGCTGGGACAGCCCCGGGAGAGGGACACAGCCAGGCTAGATGCAGGGAAACTATGACCCTTGGATTAAAATATGTCAGAAAAGACCAAAAATGAAAAAATACAGGGACTTGACTCAATAGACACTTGTGTTAAGGGGGGAAAATTGGTTTCTTAAACTAGGAAAGAAAACCTTCTAGACAGAAAGACAAGAGAAATTGCCAGTACCACTCAAGAGAACTGGAGTGTTACACACAGTCAAACACACAGGTGACCTGGCAGGCGGGGCCTGTCTGGGACAGGCAGCCATCCCCTGTAGTACCGTGGAGTGTGAGACAACTGTCAGCGGTCAGCCCCAGGACCCAGATGGCCTGCAGGGGAGCAGAGCGTGCAGGAAGAGCCACCCCCTCCCAGCCTGCCTCCCTGACCTGTTGAAGGTGAAGATTAGAGGAGGAAGGCCTGTGGCCCCAGCAGGTACCCTGGACAATGGCAGAAACGTGGTTGTCTCTATAAAAACTGATTTTCACAATATTTGAGACACGGGTGCGGGCATAGCATAGTTGGCTTCACACACAGACAACCCTTTGTGACAAGCAAGCGTCTGGGAGCTGTTCTGTCATTCGGGCGCCTGGCCTGGCCTCTGCGCTCGGAGCCCCGCTCCTGGGCGCGCTGCCTCCGCTCCGGCCTCTACCTAAGCCCCAGCGCTCTGGGAAGGGGCTCTCCCAGGCACCCGCGGCGTCACCCTCGGGAGCGCTCAAAGGTCAAATCGCTACAGAGCCCAACGCACGAGCGGGTGAAAGGCGCTGAACGCGCTGGGTCTCGGCTGCGGTCTCCCGGGCGCAGCCGCAGCGCTGCCTCTGGCCGGGGCCCCCGCCCCCCGCCCAAGGGGCCGGGAGCCGGGCACCGGGGCTCCATGGACCGAGGGCCGTGAACCGGGCGGTGGACCGGGAACCGGGGACCGGGAGGCCGGGGACCGGGGGGGCCGTGGACCGGTGGGACCGTGGACCGGGAGGCCGGCGACCAGGGGGACGGTAGACCGGGAGGCCGGGGACCCGGGGGCCGTGGCGCCGGGGGCAGAAAGGACGAAGGATGTGCCCGCTGAGCACCGACCCTGGAGGAAAACCCCGCGGGCGGCAGGCGCCGGGCCGGGCGGGCCGGGACGTGCGCACACCTGCGCCCCGCGCGCGCGCAGGGCCGCGGAGCCCGGGCCCGGCCCGGGACCCCGACCCGGGGACTCACCATGAACGCCGGGCCTCAGAGGCGCGCGGCCGGC